TTCTCTCAACAGTTTAGTTTTTATGGCTTTGAGGGTAATTCCAGGTTGAATTTCTATATAGAACTCGATCAGACTTAAAACTTGTGGTGTCAACAACTTAGTTCTAGGGGAGAACCATTTCCGAGGCAGCAAATTTAACCTGCATAAACATAAATTCCGAAAAAACATTTATAAGAAGATACAAACAAAATTTGGGAACATTGAAGGAAAATAAGCGTGGAGGAAATAGAACTAAGTTGTTGACACCACAAGTTTTAAGTCTGATCGAGTTCTATATAGAAAGTCAACCTGGAATTACCCATGGAATTAAACTAAACTGTTGAGAGAAAATGATATAAATATTTCCACAAGCTGCATAGAATATGGATTACGGAAATTAAAAATTACGTTTAAGATGGCCTCTATTGAAATAGAACGAAAGAATGACTCCAGAACATTAGGCTTGAGACAAAAATATGCTCAAGACTTTACAAAATGGATACCCCAACAAGGAGAAAAATTTATATTCATTGATGAGTGTGGATTTAATCTTCACATACGAAGAACCCAAGCCCGTTCAAGACAAGGAACAAGAGCACACATTGTGTTGCCTACGGTCAGAGGTCGTAATGTCACTATAATTGCAGCAATCACACAATCGTTTCTAATTCCAGTGTCAATGCAGACAGATTTAAATTATTTATAGAAATTTTTTTTTTGAGAAAATCAATCCAGAGTTGGAAAATAACGCTCGAATACACAAGCGACATGACATAAAAAAATTGATCGAATCCAAAAGATGCAACCTTAAATTCTTACCGCCTTATTCTCCAATGCTAAATCCAATCGAAAATGCATTTTCAAAAATAAAATTATGTGCAAGAGCTGAGCTGTGTGACGTTTCAATGGAACATAATGCCATGTCCAGACGAGCGTTGTTCGCTCTCTCATTCGTTGTTCGACCCTTAATTATGAAGGAATTACTTAGTTCCCCATACAAAATTGTCTGAGCGAACACCGACTTTTGTACGTTGTTCAATTCGAATCACTCTCTGAATAACCAATAAATTTGTCCCATCCCTAACAATTGAGAGTATTTATCGAAAATAAATTAATTTTGACAGTTTGAAAATATTTATGAAATTTTCAAACTTTTTCAGTAAAATTGAAAATCATGAATGAAAAGTAAAAAATTGTATAGTTTTTATATATGCAGCAGGATGTAAATTTTGTTTTCTACATAATGCAATATGCATTTCTTTTCCCTTGGTTCTAATTAGCGTACAAAACAAGAAACAAATGTGGGGCAACTCAAACAAAAAATTCTCCAAAATTTTATTTGTGACAGTATGTGACATTTGAATTGAGAAAATATAAAAATGTATTAAAAACAACAACATTTTCAGAAAAAATGGAAAACATGAATGAAAAGTAAATAGATATGGGTTCATACTATAGTCAGGAGAAAGAGAATTATTTTTTCTATTTAGATCCCTATGTAATTCACTAAAATATGTTACATATTTGGTGTAAAACAAGAAACAAAAAGTTTGAAATAAAAAACTCTGATGATATGAATTATGAATAGTGTTGTATGAACGGGTTAATTCATGTACGTAATTCTGAGAGCGAACTACGTTGTTCGGATGCCCGTCAGAACATGGCATAACATTGTTGATGTAATCGAGCGAAGTATTCAAAAGCTTACTCGGCAAGATTGTTCTAACTACGTTATGGATATGGTTTTGAAAATCCCACAAGCTGCAAGTCAGGAACCCCTTCATTAAGATAAACAGTTACCTTATCATCAACAATTTATTAAGTCAAATATGTATTTCGCATTTAGGACCGGGTATTCAATTCTTGTTCTTACATATTTATTTATTAAAATGTCAAGAAAAGCCCCAGTTTGTATTACTATTTTTTTAGTTTTATTTAGTAAAGATATTAAATGAAATCACACCGAATTAAAGAATATTTATGTTAATTACATAGCCATACAACTATATTTGTTAATATTCACCCCTATTCCGTATGTCGTCGTCGACACAAAACGACGTCGAAGAGTGTCGTCTTTCGCAAATTGGTATTCCCTATGTCGTTGTCGACATTTATCGATAACTATTGAAACATTTTTGGTATTCCGTAACAATGTGTGACGACGACGATGTCGAAGATTTCTTCGTCACAATTTTTGTTGACGACTGAAGTGTTTGAACATTTTTTTTAAGAAATTAAAAAAAAACATGACCGGACAAGAACAGGATACATCATTCTAGAATCTATTCAATACGTAATGCAAAATAAAGTGTAAATAAAGAAAAATATATGGGATCTATATATAAATCTGAATTGATTTTTACCAATGTCAACAGGAATCGTCTATGCGCCAAAAAAAATGTCATCCCAATTAGATGCAATTTTCCAAATTTCATCCCGTTCGGATCATAATGGTGGCCTGTAACTTGTTTAAAATAATACATCGATAGAGGGACATGCATAAATCGACTGAAAAATAATTCTATGCACATATATACTAAAAAGTAGCTATGGGTCTATACAAACACATTTTTGCCCAAAAATATGCAACAAAATAAACAGCTGACCACATTTTTAGAGATGTGTTTTTTGTTTTTATTGATATTATCGATAAATAGTCGACATCGTCACATGAGTGATACAGAATACCAAATCAGTGTCGAAGTGATGTCGATGTCGATGCGAAGTGATGTCGAAAGAGAAACGTCGTCGACAACGACGACGACATACGGAATAGGGGTGATTATTTGATTTAATTTTCAAATATTGGTTTAAAATTAGTGCAAATATTATATTTCCTTAGATAAGAATAAAGGTTTCATTTAATTTGGAAAAAGTTTCATTCTATTTCATTTGGAAAAGGTTTCATTCTATTTGTAAAAGGTTTCATTTCAAGTGGAAAAGGTTTCATTTTATTTGGAAAAGGTTTCATTTAATTTGGAAAAGGTTTCATTTAATTTGGAAAAGGTTTCATTTAATTTGGAAAAGGGTTCATTTAATTTGTAAAAGGTTTCATTTAATGTGGAAATGCTATATATATAATTTTGTCCGATTTTATGAAAATGGTACACCGAGGAGGCGGGTGTGGCTTTAGTCTAGAATGTTTTTTTTTTTTTTGTTAAGTTTGAAATCGGTTCAGATTTAAATGTGCACCTGTCCTATTTGCACGATACTTTGTTGTTTAAAGCGGTTCAGATGTAGATATAGCTCCGACACATATTTTTCCTATTTTATGCAAATGAAGGAGCCTATGTCTGTTCGCTTTACATGAAATATTGCATAGCGTATTAGATTGAAGTCGTTTCAGGTTTAGATATAGCTTCCATATATATTTTCATCCGATTTCATCTGAATGGTGTACCAAATAACTAAAACTGGTCCGATTTGGACGAATTAGTGCATAACGTGCTAAATGGTACCTAAGAATAACGTGTATTGGATTTTCTGACAAGATCTATATACACCTCGGTATATATATATATAGCTCCCATACATATTTTGCTGGCTTTCATACAAATGATTGACATTAATTTCGTTCGATTCCATTTCAATGGTCCTCCAAACAATTATAAAGCCTGTGTTTTATTCCGGAAACCTCCGCAAACTGACACTTCTTTACTTGTTTTTTAGACTTGCTTCAAAATGGGCCGCACAGTCCGATGACATCATCGTTAGACAGATATTTCTTCTCGGCGCAATGCACATTTTAATGGTTGTAATATAAATGATGGGTGTAGTTTTGATTGTAAATATTTTTCACAATATTATAATGACCCAAAAAAAACCCCCCACTCAATTCGAGTATTTTTTTAATAAAACAAAAAATATTTAATTGTTAATTTCATACTATACACATTTATTAAACTTCTTCATTTATTTTTTTAGATATAAGTTATAAATTTACATAATGTTTACATTCGTTACTATATAGGTTTTTTTTAATAATAAACAAAGAAATGGCTAATAATATAAGAGGTACAATATTTGGATAACTCAGGATATAATAAAAAAGGAAAACAATGAGAAAATTATAAAGAAATCAAATTCATTAATCAACCATAAAAACTCATGAAATAATTTACAAAATTAAAAATAAAAAACTGATATTAAGCTAACCAGACTGATGACTATACAGGAAGAAACTGAAATTTGGAGAGATTGTAGATTGACAAACTCAAAACCACTAATAATAATGAGAAAGAAAATAATCTTAGTCTAAGCTTTACATTTGTTAAACCTAAAAACGTTTAAAGTTAATGTAACTTATTGCAGTTAAAGTAAGTAATCTATGAAATAATCCCATTTTATAACCTATCATCATATCTGCATATCCTCTCTCACCAATCTTATCTGTTGAGGAATGATGACACGGAAAAAGCTTTTCTATTTGCATATAATTAAGAGACATATAAAAAATCATAATCATAATAATAAATACATAAATAAATGCGTCACTATCTACGACGCACACATAATGTTTGCATCATATATATATAAAAAAATATCGTCTAAAGTCAATCAACAAAATGGCATTTGTTAGTTAGCAGGTTTCTTCTAGTTTGTTGTTGTTCATCGACGACTTAAATTTTTTACCAATAATTTCTTTTAAGTGGGAGTTTATTAAAGGTATTTGGGGTGTGTTGTTGTTAAATGTACTTTTGGGTCTTACATTCCTATAAATTATTTATCTTCTTGTTTCTTGTTTTTTTCTTTGTTTGTTTTTAATTACACATAATGCGCGGTTTTTGCTTTGCTTCTTACTACACATTAGAGAATTTGGGGAAAAAAATTGTTATTTTTTTTGTCAGCGGATTTAGGTTTCCGGGTCGGTCTTAGGATTGATTTGGTTGTGGTTGTTTTCATTAACTACTCTTCTGTTGTTTAATAAATACACTTTTTTATTTTTGTTAAACACGACGTTTAGAATGTCTTTCCATAGTATATAATGCATTAAGAGGGGTTGTGGTGTGTGTTAGTGTGTGGTGTTGTGAAATATTAATTACTTTTCTAAAGGCTCTAAATAACACCGCACCGTATTGTTCTCATCCAGCATGGCTGATATATTTCGACCCACAACGGGTGTACTCAGAGACTGTTGTGGAGATACTTGTTGCTGTGCATGATTTGGCGGAAGCTGAGACTGGACAGTACTCTGTTGTTGCTGCAGCAGTTGCTGTTGTTGTAAATGCTTATTTTTCTGCATAGAATGCTGATTGGCAGGGGGCAGTGGTGGTCCATGATTAAATAGCTCATTGACAGCTAAGCGGCTGCCGGAGGCGGGTGCAGTTTTTTTAAAACTACGTATTGAGCCTCCGGAGCCGCTACTTACCCCAAAAACCGTTATGGGCTGTTGGTGTTGTGTTTGTTGTTGTTGTTGGACTTGCTGGGATTGTATATACGGCTGCACAGATTCATGGTATTCGTGGTAGCCTGGCGGCGGAGCTGATGCACCCTCATTCGCCTGGGCATTTTTACGCAGCTGACGCCTAAAAAACAATCAAATCAACCGCTATTACTAAGCACCCACAATTCTCGACTGTCTATCCCGAAAGAAATGATCCCGAAATGTAAATACTTACTGAAATCTTCTTTGAAAATCTGCATCTTGCATTGCCATCAATCGTCTCATTCGTTCATCGCTTTGTGGCGGCAGCTGGTCATCGCTGCAATCGTCGTCACGATCATCCTCATCGTCGTCGTCATCCGGATCACTATAGGGACTTTCACCACTAATGGGCGCTTCGAAATCATCAACATAATCATGGCTGGTAGCCATCCGACCACCACCACCATTGCTGCTATGCGTTGGGTAGCGATTCATTAGCTTTTTTTGTTGCTGCTGACGTTGATACAATGCCTGCATGGCACGTTCGTCTTCATAGTCGTGCTGTGGCAACATATCATCCACATTGTAGTGCTGCACATCGGAGGTACGATTACTCAGAATTTCTTCGTATACAGGACCGTTATCACCACACATCGAACCTTGATTATAGTAAGTTTCACCGGCACTGGGGTCTACCATCCCGACCCCACCACCACTACCATCGCCGACGACACGATGCATATCGAAATTGTCAGGTTGGTTTAAATCACAGTTGGAATGCTTATTTCTATAGTAACGTTGTTGTGGCCCTATTGCCGCCATTGGGGGCAGGGAAAACTCACCAGGGCCTTGACCACGGCGATTAATCTGTTGCAACAAATGGGCATGGGCCGCATGCTCCATTTGTTCGTCGTCTGATGACAGCTGATGCTGCTGCTGGTGTTGCGAATGTAATGGCCTACGCTGCATATGTTGCGGCGGTTGCCTTTGGTAGTAGGGTGGCGCTCCTGGATCTATGGCCTCCGCGTAGTAGGGATGCTGCTGTTGCAGGGCATGTCCCTGCTGTTGTTGCTTCATTGTGGTTTTCTTGTACGAAGGATAGAATAGAATTTGTTGGGATGTGGCCGTATTGCGTGAATGTAATGACCCACTTGGTGAATCGGAACCGGTATTACTGCCACGTTTCTTTTTGCCATGACCTTGGTTATGCTTTTGTGTCCAGTAGAAAAATTCGTGAGTTTGTTGCGGCGGTTGCTGGGGAGATACTCCCGCCGCACCATGATAATCTCTAGCTTGACCAGCCTTATGATTCTTTTGTTGCCATGCATAGTAGTCGGGTTGATGGTAAAAGGCCTCTTGTGTTGGTGGACCATTCATGTTGCCGGCAGCTAATTGCTGTTGTTTGTGTCCTTGTCCGAATATTAGATGTGTCGAGCTAACAGATGACGTCGGTGAGGTGTGTCCAGCACTGGGTGTGTGTATACCACCACCTCCAGTAGATCTCAATGTCCCCGATGCACCTGGTATTCCCATAATTATATTTGAGTTGCGCTCTAAGGCTATGTGGTTAGGTGGAACAGCCACGGGTTCATTGGATTTCGATGAGGAATGTTGTTGTAAGACCATGTTACCCTGTATTATGCCACTCTGTAAGGTGCCAGTGTTGCCGCCGGCACTCGCTGAAGAACCCTGCCTGCGAGAGACATTGTCGTTCATTTCACAATCACTTGTAGCCAATATTGCATCATCCGTGGACGCTGCCATATTCACAATGTCTTCGTTTTCATTGGCGTCGCCAATGGGCATTTTAGATTTTTTCATTTGAGTTCCCGTGTTCGAAACTCCCAGGGCATTGGTGTTACTGGTCAAAGTGCCAGCATTGCCAGCCGAATTCATGCCACCGCAAGCACTGCCGCCGACAATACCAGACGATATTGAAGTCTTGCTGCAACGCAAGCACTTTGGCAACCAAGAATTTTGTCGAACATATTTACGGTATTCGCGACGTATCTGTAGTATTAAGGTTGATTGTTTAATAACTGGTATTCAATTGCAATGAAAGAAAAACAAGAGGGATTCTTACCTTTTCATTTTGAATGCAATGGAAAACAAATATATAAATGCCCATCATTGTATTGAAGCCAACAAAAAGATAGCCATACAACTGGGCCATTTGATCATCCATTTTCGAACGTCTTAGGTAAAAGTAGGCGGATAGCCATACGGCACACAACAGCAATAGAAATATGAACGAGCAACGTATATCGAATCTATAAACAAACAGATGGATGGATATTCGTAATTGTGCTTTCCACATGGTGGGGATTCCCCAGTCCCAACTGGGGACTGGTGTGCGTGTGAGTGGTGATAACTTACCGAACATTTGCCAGCCTGGTGTGTTCCTTATTTTTCAATGTGGTTCTTGCCTTTCGACACATTATCACCCATGATAGGAATGTGTAACCCAATGCTCCCTTTTTTTTGCGGTTTAAAAAAGAGGTTTACGAAAATTTTAGTTTGTTTTCTTTTCTTTCATAATTGTTTCCAATACTTACAATCAAGAATAGCGATACCGGTGTAATAAAAGTTGCATAGAACAGCACATTTGTTTCCATCAAAACACAATAGTCATTTTGAGTGTAAGTGCTTGGATTAATGGCCAATGATATTGCCACAATTGTCAGAGATAGACCATACGATAGTAAATAATAACAATTGACTTTGGAACTTTGATCAACTTCAAGTAGAATGTCATCGGTGGTAAGAGTTGTATACGATTGAAAAGCTAAAAAGAAAGTTGATGTTTTTAATGGAATATTTCTTTGTTATTAAGTTTCTATCGAATTTGTTTAAAGGTCCATTTTCAACAACATATGCGGGGGGTTTCCTGGCTAAGTTCAAGGACCGTTTCGACAGGTAAGATGTTGAAAAAAGAAAAACATTGCCAATATTCCGACAAGAAAGCCCAATTATGTGGACACAAACCAAAAAATTGCCAGAATGGACCGGACTTATCCGAACTAAGGATAACCCTAAAATTTTTTATAAACATTTTCCGATGTAAAGGAAGGGGGACTGGGTTTCTGTAAGAGTAAATGAAACCAGCAAAGTAGAAAAAACGTCCCATCGTCTGATACAATTATAGAGCTCAGCTATTTCAAAGTAAAATAAAAATGCCACGAAAATTCATCAAGCTTCGGAATCAGATCGCCGTAATAGACAAGAATAGTGAGTTCGGAAAACTAAGCAAGGAAATCCACAAACAAAGCCAAGATCTTGAATCACATCTGTCCATCTGCAAGGGATCTAATGCGACAGTTTGACAAGTCAAACCAGTAAGGAAAGTAGTAAAGTCAGACTGGGCCGAATATATGATGCCCTTCACCACTTTGGGTGTATTGTGGATATGTATCCTTATAATTGCATGTTAATGTTCCCTTGAAGGAACATACTCATGTCTTTCTGCAACCTATGAAAAATTTACTTTCATTGGAGCAGATTAAGAGTCGTCTGCGTACCTCGGGACAAATTTATGGAAAACGATTTATAGCAAAATTAATACAATCAGACATCCGTTCGAAATACATATAGAACCGATTTTCCCGAAACTCACCATTCATGAAATTTAACACACATAGTTCTTGACTTAATTCAGTACGCTGTGCAAAATCATGTCTCAAATCGGGCAAACACTGAAAGTTTGGTGCACCATTTGCATGAAATTGTATGAAACTATATATGGGAGCTATATCTAAATCTGAATCGATTTCAACAAAACTTCACAGTCATAAAATTGGACTAAATTCCGAAAGCTGTACAAAATTTTTCTCAATCGGACAAATATTGGGAGTTTGGTGCACCATAGATAAAAATATTTCAAAATATATATATGAGAGCCATATTTAAATCTGAAGCGATTCTCCCCCCAATTTCAATAGTATTCGCCCTGGGGCCAAATTTCAACCAAATCGGATCATAAATGCGGATTTTTGAAATAAATAAAATATAATAATTTTTTTGTATATATTTTTTGTACTTACCTTCAAAACAAAACCAGGCAATGGCCGATAAAATTGCACAGTGTAAAAACACCGTTATAAATCCACAAAATTTACTCGTTTCCGTTTGTTCAATACCAATTAGAAAGAGAATTTCGACTAAAAGCAAGCATATGTAAATACTGCGATAAATAGAAGTACGTGCAGACTGCAAAGATACAAGAGAGAAATAAAGGGGTGGAAATGTAGAAAAAAATTATGCCAACATCAAAAATAAAAGAAAGATTTGTTTTCTTTTCTTTTTTGAAATACAACAATTTTGAATAGAATTTCGAAACAAATAAAAAATAATACAAGGAAATAGCAAATAGCAAGATGGATCACTTGAGTATAGTTTATGTTTAGAGATAGTTCTATACTTGGTAGTGGTGGTGATGGTGGTTCTTGAACAACAGAAAAAAATAGACTTTACAAATTAAAAACAACACACAACACATATTTACGTTTAAAATATTACAAGAACATAAATTACATTTATTTAATATTATCGATAAAAAAAACAATGAATAAAAAAATTAGCAAAATAAAACATTACAAACAGATAAATTACACTGTAACTTATTAAAAAAGAGGGAGGGAGGGGAGATTGTAATATGTACGACATAAAAACTAATAAAAAATTGAAAAACACGTTTAAATAAAAAATATTTAAAACGCTTGTAATTATTCTACTATGTTTGCAGCAGCTGGATGGAATACATTGATGATGAAAGTAGGGGGATCTTATTACATACATATATGTATATTGAAACTAAATCATGTGTTATACAATAAATATAATTCTTCTTCTTCTTGTTAACATTTTATGTATCAATTAAAAAAAACCTATGAAAATATTTAAATCATTTTTTTCTTCACAATTTAAAAAAAAAGATCTACTTAAAGATATATCACAACATAATAAATAAAATTCATTAATAGAACAGAAATGTACTACACAAAATATAAATTCTATAAATATTATTATTTTCACCACCACCACCACTTATATTGTAAATCGTCCATATTTCCTTGCATTATTATGTTATTCGGATCAGGATTATTGATACGATTGCTATTGTTTGTATTATTGTTATTGTGATTATTGCGATTAACATTTAAATTATTACTAGTCTGAGTGGTTGTAGCAGCAGCAGCAGCTGCGGCGACGGCAGCAGCATTTGTATTGACATGATGTTGTTGCAGAGCGGCGGCAATTGCGGCCGCTGCCACAGCTGTATTCGACATTGATGTCTCCACCATTTGCTGTTGGGCCGTCGTCGCTGCATGATTATGATTTAAATTGTGGCCATGATTGTGATGGGTATGCGGCGTAGCCTGAAGATTTAAATTCAAATTTAAATTGTTCATTTGTAAATTACGCTGATTGTTGTTGCTGTTGGACACAACAACAGCTGCTGCAGCAGCCACAACTTGTTGCTGCTGTTGTTGTTGCAAATTAAAGTTATTCGCATTCAAATTGTTACGATTCGAATTTCGTATCGAATTGTGATGTATGAAATTGTTCGCCGTCACATTGGAGGGTGAAATATTTTGCATATGCTGCAGATTTAACTGCTGTTGCAGATTTTGAATATTATTGGTTGTTGTTGCTGTTGCAACTTGAGTTGGATTTGTGATCTGTATCGACTCATGTGTCTGATCAATTATATTATTTTGCCGACTACTTCTGCTGCTGCCGCCACCACGACGCGAATGACTTAGTTGTTGTTGTTGGTGTCCACTTTGACGAGACGACGACGATCTTACCTTAATAAAAACTCCATTAAATATTTTTAGCGTTAGTAAAGCTACCACAATAAATATCAAACAGATCGATATGCTGACGTAAATCAAGATACGCATATTGCCATCGAACATGGTGAAAAGTGAATGAGTGTGGGAATCCATGACATCCATTAGTATGGCAAAGTTGGTCAAGTGATTGCACATACAAATGCTGTGTGTACGATTGGTCGATTCGAGGGCACAGCCATTGGCAGACCAAGCACTATAGGGGAGTGGAAAATAAAATGTTGTAAAGAAACAAAAACACATTAGATAAAATATATCGAACACACTCAACACTCAAAGGGCTGTATGTCACTTACTGATCTATGTAATTCCAAAATACACATGTTGGATTGGTTACATTTTCCGTCTTCAAATGCCTAAATGTCAATTTGATTGGCTGGGATAGTTGAATGTGTCGTCCTTTTCCCAAACTAGCTGATATAACTTTGCTATTCAAAATTCGTATACGCTGCGGTGAGGGTGAAGAGTTTGAAGAATCGGCGGTATCATTTGTTAAAATGGCTGTACTGCGTACTAAAAATACAAATAAATTATATTAATCACTTACTGGTAGTGCAAAAGTATGCTTTTCTACTTACTGTAACTTCTTGCTGACTTTATGTCAAAGTGATCATACGAAGGCTTTAATATTGATTCTAACCGATCAAAGGCAGCAAAGACAATACGAACAAGACCGCCATCACTATTCTCTATCAGGGCTGCCTTTGGCAATTCAATGCGATCGTCACTGATTTGCCACTGGCCATTATCAGGAAATACTTCGTTGGATTGCATATTCTTTGTTTCCAATACCCTTACGGAAAGCACTGGAAATGCAAAATGGAAACAAAACCATTACATTATGAATCTAACATGCAGATAATATATATACTTACAAATATTTTTAACTTTCTGTACAACATTACGCTCCCGTATGATGGTATCAGCCAACAGAAATGCATTCTCCTCTAATCCAGTTAGCAACGATGTGGCCACTCTCATTTGATCTTCCTGATTTAAATCCAACCATGATGACAACTGAGATTCATCTAAGAGATTTGATCCAGTCTTGACTACACCCTGTAACAATTCCAATATCATTGCCTCACGCAAACGTTGATCGGGAAATGTTTCCTTGTCATGGAACATTTTTTCCGACATGGTTTGAATGATTTTGGTGGTGACCAACATATCGCCGCCATATAGGGTTTTACTGCTAGTCACCTCAGACAAATCATTGGCAATCGAAATCAGCGAAGAGTCACGTTGACTAACTCTTACTTCCAGATTGCTAAGCCAAAGGCTTCGACATTGGGTTAAATCTGGAGTTAAAGGGTGCCAGGTGGGTTCGAAATTACGTAAACGAAAACTTGTACAATTTGTGCCGTTGCACAAGGCGTTTGGCGTTGAAGAGGCAATGTCCTCATCTTCGTCTAGGGTCATTCGTTTCATTAGAACACAACGCCATTTGGCAATACCAGTTGCTCCACCCGGACAGGGCTGTACATTGACATCACCCACACGCGTAATGTTCCAAAATAGATTCCGAGCATGCATGGGACCACAAAACATATTGGTTTCGTCTTCACCTCCCACTAAACCAGTATTCAAATTTATATTGTTTATGGATTTAATAATGCCGGATCCCAGAGTGGAGTTGATATTGCCGCCTAGGGATGATGCGGTTGTTGTACCAGAAGGTAATGGATTTGGTAATTGTTGCTGTCTCGTTGTGGTCTTTGTTGTAAGCAGAGTACCATCATCGCTTCCTGTACCACCGACGCCAGTTAATATTCTGGTGTTCGGCGGTGTTGTTGTATTGCTAACCGCATTATTTTGAGTTTTTTGTTGTACGGTTTTAGTCTCTTGTGTTGTCGTTTTGTGGACATGATCTCTGGGTTGGACGACCTCCTTTTGTGGATCGACTTTTCCAGCATTTTGATGATGATTACCATTTGTGTGATGATGATGATGTAAAGGTGGCGGTGGTGGCAGACCATCATGTCTAGTTGGTGGTTTTATAGAGCTATTTGCTTTAAGTCTACCACCCGGTAGGGTGGTATGTATTGTAGGAGGTCCCGGAGATGACGGCACGGCAGATACTGGCAAACCTGGCATTGGAGGCATTCTTGGCGGTGGCTGGGCAGGTGGTAAAGGTGGTTGTACTAAACCTGGATTGATAATCGATGAACTTCCATTCGGCAAAATTGGTGGTGCATTCGATAGTACCCATGGCGGTGGACTGGGACGATTAGTTGTTGTCGATGTTTGTGATGCTGATATGCACTGATAGTGAGCTTCTAAATATTTGTGTGTACCGGGACATGGATCACCAAACATGCTAGTTGTTGCCAATACACCACAACTTTGCTTGTGGGCACACCTTGAAAAATACATGCATGATAAGCTATTGGAATTTCCTTAAAAGTAATCTTATCTACGCACCTTGAGTTTAACACCGTAAGACTTTTGGGGAACATACAGTTGACACTCCATTCCATGTTGCCGTGATCATTGCATATCGTTATTGAGAAACGTCCATAGTTTGCCCGTATGAGATTTATCACATCGCCTGGGTCGCATTCTATTGTTAATTTCTTACCTTCACAGGCGTAGGCAGTCTGATATTTAGGAGCTAAAATTTTGTGGAAAAAATAATGTAAAACTCTTGCTATTGTTATGTTGGAAACAGGATATAATAATTAATATTCAAATGTATTGTAATAATAGATATATGGAGAATAAATTTGATTAGTTGTTGACGATGTTTGTAGTTGGTTTGATGTTTGTTGGATTGGTTTTTGGGGGCTAGATACCTGAAAAGAGAACTTGGCAACATGATAATGGGATCATGTTGTCATACATATATGGTATGTGGTATATATATAGTAGGTGTAGTATATAATAATATAATGAATAATACAAATGATACATTGATTGCTCAATTTGTTTATACTTATGATGCGACATTTAGAATAGTGGAGATTAGCAAGTCGAACGTTAGTAATCTTTGGAATGTTTGTTTGTACATATTTTGTTGTCATAGTCATAATCATATATACCGAATCCTTATTGCTGAGGAGGGAGGAGCTTCATTAGTCTATCCCATTGTCCATCCAGACAACACATCAGTTATTGCATTCGGTAAATTGTTGCACAATCTATAACAAATAAAATAAGGAAATTTATTTAGGGGGGTTAAAAGTAGAAGGGAATTTATAGAACAGCACTACCCCCACACAGAGATGTTCCCAGTTGTGCGGTACATAGCAAAGTAATTAGACAATTTCAAGGATTCACAAAGTCCAGGTTTCTTATCGGTTTTTATTTTTATTTTTTTGTATTGAATATACAAACAGATTGGGAATTTAAATTATTTGTATTTAGGCAGTATTTCAATGTTGTTTATTAAGGAATAAATAAACAGTAACAACAAAATGTGTTAAGATATGCTGCCAGAAAACGCAAAGGCGACAGAACACAGTTGTTTCACTTAGGCTCCATGTGGAAATATTTGTTTATTGTACAGTATTTGACACAGTACTTGCGTAGTTGCAAATCAAAGACCATATTGGTGTGTTTTTTTTTTTTAATATCGAAGACAGAATTTGGGAGACTGTTGTGGAAAGACTATTCGAAAACTAAATAAACAATGTTTGCGATAACATCAACACCAAGTCTTGTATGTGTATGTGTGTGTTTGTTTGGGTGTCTACACATGCGCTTATCGTATCAGTTTGTGTAAATAAGGGTATTTCATAAAAATAATTTATTCTGGTGAAGGTTCCATAAAAGGAATGAGTAATAAATCATGACAAAACCAGTTTTGGTTTTTTAGTCAGCATAATGTAGACATTTTCTTGTCAAGAATATACACCTTAAAGTAGAGGTGCTCATATTACTCGTATTGGTATGGGTAAAATAAATAATAACGGCAGATCTAAATGTGAAGAAAAATTAATGTGTGCTTTAAGGGAACTAACTCTTGTATAAACTATACAAATTATTGATTTCGCTTAAAAATTAACAAAATTGTGGACCTTTGAAAATTTTTTCTTGAGTTCTTGAGATGTTCACTGGAAAGTTGTGTAGGGACATTCCTGAATTAGTGTTGGTTCGAATTAAATAAAAAAACATGCCTTACATTCCCCACAAATAAATAGTTTTTTTTTTTTTAACAACAAACGGGGTTCAGCTTGACTATTTTGCAAAAACCAAATTAAATAAAAAAAAAAATAAATTAATTTTTTTCAAACCGAGAATGGGGTGTTTCCTTAAACCTTATGAAATTATTTGTCATTCAAGTTGGATATACAGTAGATATCGGATATAAGAAACTAAAAAAACTCAAAAAAGCGTTCATACGCGTATAAGAAATCTTTCTTATTTAGATATATTCTCTTAACGTAAAATGCTTAAATGGAAAACATGTTTTAAAGAAAAACATTTTATTAAATAAAAGAATGCAGTATATAAGAATACAAAATTACTAAATTAAAATCAGTTCAGTTTGACTAAAAATATGTGCATATGGGTCCATACATATAAATAATATTATTTCAAATAGAATTAAAAAAAGTATTTAATTTTCTTTGGACTAGGGGGAGTTATCACGCTGATGAAATCAAACATTTTCAAAGTTAAGAAATTGGCCAATTATTTTACATATTTTCTTAAATAAAAAAATTTTCAAATTCCTTTGTTAGCTTTGGTGTTTGACAAACATTTCTTATATCAGTTTTTTTCTTATATGAAGCAATTTTTACACTGAGGGGATGTAAAAGGGTTCGGTGTTTTTTGATAATCTTTCTTATATGCGATTTTGTCTTATATGAGATGTGTTTATATCCGATATCTACTGTATGATTTTTTTGAATATTTTTAAATAAAAACATTTTAATACTACACTGTGTGTCGCTTACCCTTCCCGGCATAGTAATTTCAAAGCTATGTGGCGTTACATTGTGGAGTAACCTATAACATTATAAAAAAATATACATAAAATAAAATGCATAAAGGTAATAAAAAATAAATAATTCACCTTTTTAGCATGTAAATTGAACTCCAATAAATGCATTGCATTTCAATCTCATCAGTAAAGCCAGTCAGCAATCATGCAGTGAAAGAATGTGAACGTCTGGCTGTATGTTTATGTGTGTGTGCGACTCATCCAGTAGATACAGAAAATTTCAAAAACTTGTCTGACTTGGAAAGAGGTCATCGTTTTTTATGCAAGACGTAGAAGAATCGATTTTCCAAAGCAGACTTATTATTGTATAAGACAATACATATATCTTTAAATAAATATTCTTGGACAAGTGGCTTATGATTTTTAGTCCCTCGACATTTTCTAATAGCACATCCGATAAGATTCAAATTATGCCCCTCTATAGCATTTTTCCCATAGCCCATGAAATAGGAATAAATCTCACCTATATATGGATAGTAACAAAAAAAAATAAAATTAAACAAAAACAAATCATTTGTTAATTTTTGTAATAATATAAATAAGCAAAAACAAAAATATTAACCTTTTTCCATACATAAATTAAAATTCCAACATTTTAATTTTCCTCCTCATCTTCATCAGCCATCTTGCCGTGGAAGAATGTGTGTGTGTATGTATGTGTGCTGTATCCAGCCAATAGATACAGAAAATTTAAAAACTGGTCCCCCGACACTAAGATGTGAATTGTAGATTTTCATTGGAGAAAAACTTCGCCAACATAATTTATTTAAATATTCCATTATTATTTTTGGTTTTAACTGTTTTTTATTGTTCACATTGAGGAACATTTTTGTTTATGTGTTTCTTTGAATATTAATTTATTCACAGTTCTATTTTTTTCAAATTCACTTTAAATCCAAGCACTACGGACATATTAGCAGCAGTCGACACAACTTCACTGGTCTCCGAATTTTTGAAGACTGAAAAATTCTCTATAATATTATGCCAATACATTACCAATTATTCTAATAGAAAGTTGTGTAACTGATACTCAATACCAAACGGGTACCTACACAAGGTGTGGTAAGTTTAGACAATTGTAATAGATTTTTTTTCATCTCTACAAAAAAATATGTCATCGGAATAAATATACAAAAAAATGCAATTGCTTTGTCAGACAAAATGTATAATTTTAAAATAAAAAAGAAGTGGTAAGTGGTAGGACTTAAAAGAATAGTATATTTTATACAATTTTATATTGAAATTACCAACACTGTAGGGTTTTTAAGCGTCTGTATGGACATTATCACGATACAAATCGAGATGAATACAATACTGTAATTGTTTAAAAATGCACACCTTTTTTAAATCTACCAAAATGCAACCATGGTACAATAATATAAAGTAGTAGCTTGAGTTGAATAACAAAAAAGCAACTATGCCAAATAGATTCTGTCTTTATTTGACATATGCATATAACACATAATTAAAAACGCGAAACATTAATGAAAGGTTATGATTATGGCTATAAAAGTTTATAATAAAAGAAAGGTTATGTTTTTACGGACGCCGTAAAAACATAATTATCATTTCAATTAAATTTTAATTTATTTCAATTCATTTTGAATTTATTTGAGATATGTTTTTTATTGCAATTCATTAGTATAATTTACTTTTGAAGCCCCAGCGCCAAAAAAGCTTTATAGGGGCAAAACTGGCAACCATGGTACAATAATACAAGGTAGGGCAGCTTGAGGTGAATAACAAAAAAACAACTATGCAACAACTTCTGCCAAAAATAAAATAAATATACGCAACAAGTGTTTGTGTTTATTTGACATTTTTTCAACACAAAACTAAAAACTCGAAAAATGAATGAAAGGTTATGATTTCTTCCCAAAATCTAGTAGGGAATACCATAAAATGTTTGTTTCATCCATAACACAGTAATTACTTCCAGACGAATGTGTTAAAAACATACTTTTCATTTCAATTAAACTTGAATATATTTCAATTTATTTATGAATTTATTTGACATAGTATTCAAAACAATACACACAAAATATGTATTTTGATTTGAAGGAACAAGCCACCTTGAGAAAAAATTTTAATCAGTTGGTAGCTGTGCCCTGTAATAATTATACCATGCTGGCAACCATCAAAATAACCTTTTATATAAAATTCATGGTACAATTATAAAAGGTAACAGCAAATCCCAGCTGATTTGATACCAACTTATTACTAGTGTCAATATGAATTTGACAAATTATGTTTTTAAAAATCACCCAACAGGAAAATTGGGAACGCATCATGGTATAATAATAAAAGGTAACAGCAAGTGTTGTTGTACAAAAAACGATACAACAACCACATGGGCATTTTTTGTTGTAAGTTCTACTAGTGTCAACTCATTTGACAGAAAAATGTAAACAAACAAACAAATTATCATAAAATTATTTTTATTTTAAAAATGGAATATTTTCGAATCCTCAAAATAAAAATTGAAAAACATGAATGAAAATCTATCAAATTTATATTTCTATCGCTTCCACATCTTTCCTTTAATTGAGCCATTGCCATATATATGTGTAACACATATGACAATGCTGGGAATAGCGAGTAATTCCTTCAAGAAAGATTTGCTTCCTCAAACTTTCCCAGCAGGCAGATTGAGTAAATTGAATACGGGAGCACATTAATAAAGAACAATTTCAAATTGTATGCGTTCCCAATTTTCCTGTTGGGTGATTTTTAAAAACATAATTTGTCAAATTCATATTGACTCTAGTATTACGTTGGAATCAAATCAGCTGGGATTTGCTGTTACCTTTTATAATTGTACCATGGGAACGCATACAATTTGAAATTGTTCTTTATTAAAAGTGCTCCCGTATTCAATTTACTCAATCTGCCTGCTGGGAAAGTTTCAGGAAGCAAATCTTTCTTCAAGGAATAACTCGCTATTCCCAGCATTTTCATATGTGTTATACATATATGTGGCAATGGCACAATTAAAGGAAAGATGTGGACGCGATAGAAATATAAATTTGAAAGATTTTCATTCATGTTTTTCAATTTTTATTTTGAGGATTCGAAAATATTTCATTTTCAAAATAAAAATAATTTGATGATAATTTGTTTGTTTGTTTACATTTTTCTGTCAAATGAGTTGACACTAGTAGAACTTACAACAAAAAATTTCCATGTGGTTGTTGTATCGTTTTTTGTACAACAACACTTGCTGTTACCTTCATGGTATAATAATACCATGTATAAAATTATGTTTCTAAAATTTAGAAAAAAAAGGTAATTACGAAAGAAGTGTGTCCATTTTTGTCAATAATTATTTTTTCAATTTAGTTTTAAAAGAAGAAATAGAATTTGAGTTTTTTATTTCAAGCGCAATTTGTTGTATTAACTTGGCCCAGCAAAACCAATTCGCTGCTTAGTAGTCTCAAAACGACACCTGACAATATGAACTTGGTCTCAAAATTACCGACAAACTCTATTGATCTTACACCTGTGTTCCTGGTAGACTTCCTCTTATCGGCAGAATAGTTTTAGTTTGCGTCTAAAAAGTTGCGGGGAAGAATAACGCCTTGGTAGATTCAAAACAATTTTTAATGCAGTGTTCTGTGCTCGTTGCAGTTCTTTTATCGCGCTATTGTTTTTATAAGCATGTATACCTGGTATGTTTCCCCTTTACTAGCTTTACTATTAAAAAAGTATTGGAACAGACCAATAGTATTCAAACAATACACACACATACACAAAATATGTATTTTGATTTGACGGAAAGCCACCATGAGAAAAAATTTTAAGCAGTTGGTAGCTGTGCCCTACCTTGTAATAACTAAACCATGAATGCAACGCTGTATGTTTACTTAAATATTCGAAATCCTTAAAAACCCAAAATATATGTCTTAAAAAAAATTAGCTGTTTAAAAATGCTAAATTAAAAAAAATTGTAATGAATATTATACGATTTCGAAACAGCACATCTGTTTATGCTTTTTCACCTTTTGGAGATTAAAGAGTTACAAAATCCACTCGATCTCAAATGTTAATTCCAGGGTAGCTTTTACGTCAAATATAATCCACTGGATTTGTAAAAAGGATTAACATGACGTGACTTTTAAAATCGAGTGGATTTAGTAGTTTAAACGCGCTCCTAAGTGGTAAACACATAAGACGACTTTGAGCTTTGCATGTTAAATTGGCTTTGTTTAATGTTAAAGAATATAGAAGTCGAAAAATAAATGAAAGGTCATAATTACTTCCCAAAATCCAATAGGCTATAATTATTACAAGATAACATCTGATTACACTTTTTAATAAATTTGTAAAAATATCTCAAATAAACAAAATAACCTGTTGAATATGTTTATAAGTAAATATCACATTATAAGACTTTACACTAGACTACTAGTTTTGGTTAATTACGTCCAGTAAGCCTACCTCTTGCTATTGTACAATGACTACTGGGTTCATACATTGAAAACATTTAGATTCTGAGTTTCGTGATAATATTGGTCGGTTTCAGAATCTTCTATTAGTCGAAATTATTTTCGATTTTAAAATAGCGCGAATCTGGGAAGTACAAAAATGATTAATATATATAAAAATATTGCAAAACGTTTTCCGGTCGCCTTATTTAATAATATTTAATAATGAGAATGAGGATAGTATTTGGTATCTCGATTAACAAATCGAGTCGATTGTATCAATATCGTCCTTAATATCATTTAAAGCTGTTCTATGGTGAAGCCCTCTTAAATCTAATCTGGTACGCGTAAGTTCTTTGGGGGTATAAGTGTATGCCGGAACTTCTTTAAACTTAAGGAGTTCCATCATTTCTTTTAAATAGAGCTTACTTTTCTTCTGGCCCTTTTTAACTATGTTGAAAACTACGTTCTTAGATTTTAAAGATTGCACAAGGTCTGTGAGGTTTACATTAAAAAGACAAAATAGAGGGACAGAAACCTTTTAGATTGTTACCCGATTTCGATGTGATTTCTTTTCTAGGAGCGGCGACAGATTCCTTCTCAACATTCGGATCGGTAGGTGGTTGAGATGATTGTGCTCTTAAAACAGATGGTTCGGAAAGGGCATCAATGTCTCCTAGCAATGCAAATCTAATTTTGAGAGATGACTTGATTTGATCCTGATTGCATTTCCGATGCTTGACATATTCTTGGTCGCTTGGATTGAGGTCGATCACACGCATTTAAAACAGCGCCCTTAGCTTTTGAATTGCTGTTGATATTCCTAGCCTTCGATGAATTTTGGGCTATAAAATTTTCAAATGATTCTACTGGAAAATAGTAATTTGATGATTTTTGGTTGATTCCTTTATATTTTCGTGTATTCTCTGCTTTGTCAGGTGGTACATTTTCAGATAAAGAGCGTTCTTCCGCCGACATCGGATTTTCCAAATTGTTATTTATTGACAATATGGAATTTTTTTATTACAATTCTGTTCTGTTTGAAAACAAGATTGAGAATCGTATGTATACAAACAGTTATGGTATATTTCTGGTTTAAGTTAATTGCCAATAGCATTGCATAACCATGCCATGTTCAATAAATGTCCCAATAGGTCTTAAAAAAGCAGGGTATTTATGTTTGTATTTATATAAATATTTTAATTAGAACGAATATGAATGCAAAAATAAAATTCGATAATTAGACATAAAAATACGACTGCAATAAAAAACTCTGCGTCTCAGTAGACGCCATTTATATTATTATGTGACGATGGTGTATTGTTCTCTTGAACTTCCAATCGTCTTCTGGCCGATACACCAGAGGATGTTGAACTAACGGCTGTACGGTTTCCGGAAACCTTTTCAGCTTCAATGCGACCCGACAAAAATGTTGCGAGACGTTCCTAAAAACGAAATAAATATTAATATAGACTTCGACAATGCCATGATGGTTTGAAATCTTAATAACAAAAATACTTACCAAATAAGTATTGGTTAGACATTGCAAATCACCGTAAAAAGCCACCATACGTTTTATTATGGTTTGAGCTTCTTCTTTGGATAAATCACGTACTTTATCCAATTTCGTAAGGCTTATTAAACGATTATTGATATAAATTATATGATGAACAACCTCTGTCGAAGTGTGTGATACAGTTCTGGAAAAAAAGAAAAAAAATCGAATATTTAAATATATGTTAATTATGTTCAACCAATAATAATTACTTTGGTATATTGGCAGCGACATTTGCGCCAAAGTTCACCATATGGACAACACGTCGAGCTGACTCCCTGGTTAGCAAGACAATTAGCTGTTCTAATGTAGCAGGTCTAGCCTGGTTTTCGGGCTCATCTTGACTTAAGTAAGACCAAAGTTCTTTGGCTTTTTGCAAAGCCATCTTGGGATCTGTGGCAATCTAAAAGGAAAATAAAGATGTATTTCAGGCAATTTACATACATTATGACTTCAGTTAAAAAATTACCAATTCAGCGGCATATATTAAAATATGTATAGCTTCCTTGCTTTGCTTTTTCAAGGCCCTCGCTTCGGCCAATGTTCTTTGGGTCAGACGACGCTTCAGTTTACGCGAGAAACGTTGACCATGATGTATTGCCTTGATGGCGCCCTTCTCATTTTGTGTCTCAGCACTGTTATCATCCTCATTTGGAGCTGCAAAGCAGTTTTATGTGAATATTATTTTTATTTAAGTATATATATATATATATATATATATAAATTGACACAAAATCATTATCATGAAACATAAAAGGAAAACAAACAAAAAATACATGATGTAGAAAGTAATACTGAGAAAGAATATTTTCTGTACTGTGGACGTGAAAACAACGTCAGTGATAACATATATGTATGCTTAGTAATAATACCATGATATATATGTTAAATTAATTCAAGAGATTTCATCTGGGGTTTCGTCATTTCCGGTTAGAATAATCCATATTCAGACATTAAAATGCCCCAAGTACGATAACTTGAGGTGAATAACAAAAAATCAACTCTGTAGGTAGGGCTTATTCTGTCAAATTTAACAATGTAAACGTACTATAACTTTGTTCTGAGGGTATATACGTAATTTGTGGGGTCCTAATTTTTGTAGCAGCATTTAACCCAATTCTTAATGATATCTAGACTAGTTGAATAAATATATTTATATGTGTTCATTTGATTCATAACAGGCCGCTGTTATGAATCAAATGTCACAATATTTTGTATGTAGGTTTGATTCTGATCAAAGACAGCATCTATAGTTTTGTTCATGACAGGTTAATACATGTTACTTCACGAAATATTACATTTGGAATGACCAAACTTTATTTGAAGCTCAAATATGAGGCAATTGTAGCGGGATTCTGAACAGGATCGGGATCCATTAGTCCAGTATCATATGGTCGGACCGTCAGACTATACTGCTTCGCTCACTGATTTTTAACTATTACATTTAATTAATTTCAACATTTTTTAACGTAATATGATGTTATACGAATTACTATTATTTTGAAATTTAGAACTATAGTTTTGTTATAAACTAGTTTTGTTTTAAACTATAGTTCTAAATTTCAAAATAATAGCTGTATTAAATCTGAATTTATTAAAACAAACCTTCTACTGTAAAATTTCAAATTTGAGGGTTATGTTTTTTGGCGAATATGGCTCGATATGTTTCCAATTTTTTTATAAATTTACTTTACTTTCAAAATGTAAACGAAATGTACGCATGTGTTGAGTGAGAACAATGTGGAAAGTTCGGGAACGCAAGTCTAGTAAATATGACAAATGGTCTGTTCCCGTACTGCAAGAATCTACTACTTTTTACTACGATAACGAAATTTCCTTTATGATATCGAAGAAAATAGTAAAATCTAGTAGATTCTTGCAGTACGGGAACAGACCAAAAATATTACTGTTTGCCATTTTTACTCGGACTATTTATCGAGTAAAAAGTTTACAAAGAGAACGCAATTTTGTACCATGGTATAATTATTACAAGGTAGAGCATAGCTACCAAATTATATTAGGTTCGTTCGTTTACTTTCCCAGCAACAGCTGATTTGAACAATAAACAATTTGGCGCAAACAAAGCGGAAAATTGAGGTTAATGTTAAAAAATCAAAATAAATTTCACAAAACAATTAATTTGCTTGAGAACTATTTTATTGTTTTTTAGAAATCATCTGATTAAATATCAGCTGATGGTAAAAAAAAATTCTTATTGAGTAAATTTTCGTTGTAAGAATTTGCAAATTCTCAGTAACACCACTATCAATTCACTCTCTTTTACTGGATTTTTGTCTAAACGAACAACATTTTGTAATATTTTGTACAAATTATTGAGTGAATTATTAAAAAATTAGACAATTCACAATAGTGGATTCTAACACCAAACTTGAAAAGCTGGTGATATCCAGTTTGTCTCGATGGATACCAAATCAGCTGGTCTCCCTTGGTGACCTTATTTATAGGCCATGTATTCAGCTTTCAAAATTTAAATGAAAATACCTTCCTTCGATATGTACGCATATCAAGTGTTCAATGGTAAAAATTGCCATATAATTTATATTTATAAGTCTGCTTTTCCACAGGCAAATTTTTATTTGGCAAATACTGAGTTTGTAGGCGAGAGGGGTGCGAGGAATAAAAACAAAAATTTGCCTGTTCAGAATTTGCCGTACACGCAAATTCTGCTTTGCTCTGTTCGTTGAAAACAATTTTGTTCACATTTCCTTTTGAACCTATTCGCTTTACTGACACACAGCCGGCTTTAATTTGTGCAAGTGAAATTTAATTTTTAATTTTTGCAATTTATATAATAAAATATATAAAAAATAAATAAAATATTAAAAAAAAACTTTAAAATGCAAACACTTTTGCCTTTTATTTCCTTTCTTTTGTATTTTGATTCGCAAATTTGGCAAAGAAAAATTTGCTAATGGAAAAGCAAGCGAAAATTTCAAAAGAGAAAACAAACAATTTGCCAAATAAAAATCTGCCTGTGGAAAAGCAGACTAAATAATTTTAACTTATAAATATATAATGTAATAACAATGGTTAAATCTTGAGAGCAATACTCAGCTTTAGAAAATATTTTTTGTTAAATTTATTGAAAATATGCCAATCGACATACATAAAACTTTATGGAATTTATTTTTCATATTATTTAAAATTGACGTTACAACAACCACATGGAAATTTGTTTTTGTAAGTTAAGTGGCCCACACACGTCAAACATGTGCGTTCGATCGGTGTGAATCGAAGCAATGTTTGACGTGTGTGGTACGGTGTTCACACCGATTTGCCGGTGCGCACACCGATCGAAAGAAATTAAAAATTTTTAATTTTTCGTTGTGCGACGCGCACATGTTTGACGTCTGTGGCCTGGTGTGTGGATATTTTCTCATTTGTTGAGAAATTTCGTGGAGTGCGGATCAGCGGACAAATGCAATACATATGTATTTGGAAGATTTTTTGATATTTTTACACATATTCTACTGTGTGCCAAATAAAAATGTTTTTTCCCGGAATAAAGTAAAAGTATTTAATACATTTATATTAAATAAAAATATTTCATCTTTTTTCCGTCATCACTATCGCGGTCCATCTTCACGCTTCAAAATAAATAAATATGAAATGAAGTTTAATGGATCCGTTTGACGTGTGTGGGCTAGGAGCTTCACACCGATCGAACGCACATGTTTGAGGTGTGTGGCCTACTTTATACTAGTGTCAACGTCATTTGACAGAAAAATGTAAACAAACAAATAAATTATATTTAGTTTGAAAATGAAATATTTTCGAATCCTCAAAATAAAATTTGAAAAATATGAATGAAAATCTATCAAATTTATGTTTCTATCGCTTCCACATCTTTCCTATAATTGATGATTATTTGTGTAACACATATGTAAATGCAGTAAATTGCGAGTTATTCAATGAAGAAAGATTTGCTTCCTCAAACTTTCCCAGCAGGCAGATTGAGTAAATTGGATACGGGAGCTTAGTTAATAAAGAATAAAGAAAAATTTTAAATTGTATGCATTCCCTTTTGGGTAATTTTTAAAAACATAATTTGTCAGATTATTATTGACACTAGTATTACGTTGGAATCAAATCAGCTGGGATTTGCTGTTACCTTTTATAATTGTACCATGATTGATAGATGAGTTCCAATTTAAAAAGGGTTGCCATCATAAAATTCTCAAATTAGAGTACCTTCTGTAATTATGCCATGTGTGTTGAAAAAAAAAATATGTAATAACCACAACAATTTGTTGGGAAGGTTTTTTTTTATTTGACAGAAGAAGCAACTAACATAGTTTCTTTTTTGTTATACACCTCAAGTTGTCCTGCTTTTTGGTTATTCACCTCAAGTTATCCTACCTTGTTATTATTGTACCATACTTCGACCTCTGACTTTGATTAACCTATGCTTATACAGAGAATAGTAAAATTGCCTATAGTAAATAAAAAATGCAAAATTATCAATGACAAACTATTGTCCCATCAACAACTTGTTTATGTTAATAAAAATTGCTGCTTTAAAATGTTGTCAAACGATGGATTAGTTCATCATCTATTTTCCATTGCCTTTTACTATCTGTGTATGTTGTTTTGAAAGTCTAGAAATATTCTACAAAAAAAACACATTTTGCACATCCTTATTAAGAAATGACATTTTAACTTGATTTACTGGCATGTTACTCTGATGTCTCATTTAAATTTAGCTTATCTTTAGGTAAAACAAAAAAATATACGAACAGAAGACCGGCGAATAACAAGTTCAGCGTCGTAAATAAACAAAGACTAGATTAAACAAAAAAAAACATTCTTGGTGATCTTCCAGAATGTGATAACCTTAGATTTGTATGGGCTTCGGCTCAACTCTCTCTTTCTCTTTGCGCCTCTACTTCTTTCGACACTATCCCATGCATTTAAACAGCACACATTCCAAAATAAACTTTATCACTATTTTAGCAACACACACACACATTTGTACATAAACATATATTTTTGTATAATACATAACATGTATGACGATCTACTTACCATCAGTCTGATCCTGCTCCCCGTCAATGGGTATTAAATATTTATCAACAAATTTATCACCAACCGTCAAAGCGCCATCCAAGCGTTCAGCAGCAAATGTTGTTATGGGACTTTCTAGGACTGCATTACCAATTTGTTTAACAGAATCGGCTCGCTTGAGGACCGGTCTCACCAAATGATCCGACATATATTCTTTGGTATTCCAATACATCTTTAAGCCCAAAACAATTGTCTTATTAATTATCAATAATGACATACCACGAAATACAATATGCGTATGTATGTATATATGTGTATGTATGCTCATCAATATATATTCTTCGACAAAAAAACTTACCATTTCCGGTGGAAGATATACCAGGGGTATATGTTGTTCCAAAATATCTAAACTTTTGCAAACCACGTTATCCAAACGTTTCAACGGAGTTTCGAAAAGTTTTACGGCTGGCTTTACCGATTCATAGGCCGATGTAATGGTATATTCGGCTGTTTCCAAGTACCAGTTGAACAGGCGATTGCTTGATTTGACCTTTCCATATAAAACTTCGGCTTGTTTTAGGCTTGTCTCAACCAAGGGTATGCTAGTAATACGGTCAATAGATTCCAAGTGAAGTTTTGTGCTGGGTGTATTTGCGGCTGTAATAGATTCGATAATCATCTATCAATTGTCCATTCAATTTTTTTCAAAAGACTAACCCATTTCTCAAAAGTTGACACAAAAATATTAAAAGTGATAGTTAATATTTCTTTTGCGGTTTGCTGTATTCGTTTTCGATTTCCCGCTTTAAAGCGGCTCGTACAATAAACCTTGTCGTTCAAATCTCGAAAGAAAACTGAGACAAAACAACATTGGTGCATACAATTTAAAAAAATACAAATCCTCCATAGCATTTCATAATGGAATAAAATTCACAGAGAGACTTTTTTAATTATGGACTTTTTAGCGATAATGTGAATGTGCACATTTGATGGATTCACTTGAGATGAGTGAAATTCTCTCATGCTGTTCTTTTTATTATTCCTCAATTTTTTTATGAGGTGTATAAGAAATATTCTGATATACAATTAAAAACCGGTGAACCTTCTTGCATTGCATATAAATTAGTTTTAGTCGAATTTATTGACCCAATGCTTACTAAAGGTGAAATTTTTATTAATATAATATTACACTAGGGTAGCAAGAGAAAAAGATACTAGTAAAAGCCCTGATATTGCAATGACCAGGAATGACACCTGTCATTACTCTTATTTAAGCTTTGCTCAGGTTCAACAATGAGTTTGTTCTCTTGGTTGACGGTGTCTAGATCTTGACACATTGCACCTTGGTTTGTTGTGCCAAAGTTCATAGGCTCTTTCGCCGAAGAACGCCTCAAAGTTCCGATAAGGATGGTGGTTTGGTTGAGCCATCAATTGCTAGATCTGTAAATTGAGATCCTCGTCTAGGTAATTCGTCTGCTCTTTCATTACACATGATGTCACGGTGTCCTGGTACCCAACACAGCCGATAGCAGTAAGTATGTTCTTCCAAAACTGTTCAGCTGCTTGTCGGGTGCTCCTCATGTCTCCTGTTATTAGAACCGAGGCGGCTCTTTGTACCTTATCTGGTTTGCTGGATGTCGACTTGTGGCGCAGGCAGTTCCACCAAACATGAGAACCATAGGAAAGGATGGGCCGTACAACGGTGTTATACAACTAGTGTATAGTCGATGGTTTTAGCTCCCAAAATTTCCCAATGGAGTTCTTGCATGCATAGAGTGCAATCAGCCTTCTCTTCGCCCGTTCCCCATCCATTCTCACAACATGACTAAGTCAACGTAGTGGCTGACGCTCAATCCGTCTGATTATGTCGATGTCCGAGGATGGATGGTATAGCTCATGGTTCATTCGACAACGATATTAACCGTCGACCCAGATTGGCCCATAGATTTTTCGGAGAATCCCAAATGTTGGACCCTTTATATCGATGTCATCGGCGATTAACATGTGTTGTTTGGTGTACAGAGTGTCATTTCTGTTCACATTTGCCTCTCGTATGATCTTTTCCAGCAGAATGTTAAACAGGTCACACGGCAAACTGTCACCTTGTTTGAATCGGTATCAAAGGGCTTTGAGAGTTCTTTTCCGACTTTAACTGCTGGCCTTGCGTCAGTTAAAGTTATTCTACATAGCTGTATTAATTTTGTAGGAATGCCGAACGCAGACATGGCTTTAAATAGCTCTGAACGGATAGATCTGTCGAATGCGGCTTTATAGTCGACGAATAGATGTCGAAAATGTGTCGATGTGTTTTTCATGGGTCCTTTTCAGGATCTGGCGCAGAGTGAAAATCTGGTCAATGGTGGATTTCTCAGGACTGAAGCCGCATTGGTATGGTCCAATAATGTCATTGACCATTGGCTTCAGTCGTTCACACTGCACGCTGGATAGCACTTTATATGAAAGTTATTCCTCTATAGTTGGCACATGTCATCTGGTCTCCGGTTTTTGTGTACGGGACACAAGAACATGCTGAGGATCCAATCATTCGGCATACGTTCATCTAGCCAAATTGTACTAATCAGCTGGTGTATGCTTCTGACCAGCATCTGATCACCGATCCTGAATAGTTCGGATGGTAATCCATCGGTACCTGATGCTTTATTATTATTCAGCCGATTAATTGCTATTTTGACCTCATCTTCGCTAGGTGTTTCTTTCAGATCCTCAACACGCTATATGTATCTATGGAAAAAATGTCAAATAAACAAACAAAAAAAAACGTTTTGGATATGTTTATTTTATATCTGACAGAACAAACCACTATATACAGAGTTGCATTCACTTCAATATATCCTAACTAGTTTTATTGTATAATGAAATAAAAAAACTCTAATTTAACAATTAAAAATTATTTAATTTTCTGAGCAAATAAATCGATGAACCAAGCATACCCAACACATACATGTAGTTCTGAAATAAAAGTAAATGGAAAGTATGACCTACGGAATGGCATTGATAAGACCAAGACGAATAGTATAGATTATATGTTATTTTAATTGTATGAGTATAACATTAGCAGAGTAGGTGTTCCATTCGAATGATTTTTTGTAAAAAATATTATGAATGTATCAAAGTTCAAAAATTCTTAAAAAAAACTTTCCAGATATGTTAAGAAAAGCAAATGATTCATGTGATGCAACAACCATATCATCATATTCTTGCACAGTGGAACATTTGATGTTATTATATGTACGAAAAAAAAAAATAAATAACGTACATTTATTACACCTTTCATCAAAAATTAATCCCATGTATTTATTTTACATATATCGTACGGAGCAAACAGCTATATGCAGAGTTGATTTTTGTTGTTCACCTCAAAATATCCTACTTTATAAAATTGGACCATGTTTTTTCCACGATCCGGAACAAACAACATTAACTAATAGCAATGTAAAAGTACATTTACATATACGATTTTAAATCGACTCGATTAACGAAATCCAGAAATATATCCTAATTGTTTACATATACCCTTATGCTTGATCTAAATGCCGATCAGCTGATGTTTGTTAGTATACATACAAAATTATTAATTTGCGCCAAATATATTTGTTTGCAATTTGAAAAAGAATAGAAGAATTACCACAATGGAAATGTTTTTGCAATACTGTGATCGTTTGGAAAGTAAAAAACACCTAAAAACACAAAAATTCTATAATTAAATTGTATTTTCCTTTGATCTGTCATTTTTGTATTTGTCAGCCGTTAAATTTAAAAACAAACGGCATGTAAAAACAGTTGCAAATTTTGGTACATTGTGAGAGAGTTGTATTTTTTCGTACAAAACCCGCGTTGCATCTCAGTAGTATCATGATTTCGATCATGATTTAAAATAAACCCTGCCGCACAATGATTTAAATTTGTATGAGAAATCATGGTAAATTCAGCCCGATTAAGAAAATAAACCCTGATTCACCTTTTAATCATGATTAGATGTTATATGTATATTCGCTTTAACATTAAAAGCAACACTGACTTTCAGTTCATCATACTAAATGGCATTCTACCATTTAGACCTTGGATAACATGTGCTTTCAAAATAATATATATATTTTTTTTATATTTACCAATGCAGTATCAATTACTTGCCGTTGTCAAGCGCTTACTATGATCTAAATACAATCAATACTTGCTCTTTTAATCAGTTGCAGACATTATTTCTTGTTGAATATTACATATTATAAATATTTACATTAATGTTGCATCAGATTTGTATTTAATATTTGTTGTAATTTTTTTCTTTGCAAAAATACAAGGAAATTCTATTACACCCAACATAAAATGCTCAATGAAATTAATTCTTGTCCAGGGTCATGATTCAAAATGAGGTCTAAGAATTATCAGTAACTGTCAAATTGTACAAAATGTTATGTTAATTTGTAATAAATTCGAAATATTTCATGCTAGGAGACATGGCACAATAGATAGGTAGTCCATTTAGCGCAGCTGATGTCTCGATTAACTGTAAAAGTGTGTAATTTCTACTTGAATTCGATGTGAAATGTTGGCAATCATGTGAAATGTTATAAGTAAAAATCTGACAGATGGTCGAGACAAGAACAAATGTTTTTGTTTTGTTACATCACCTTATTATTGCATCATGCTATGCAACTTAAGGCGCTTTTACACAATACGTTTTATACATATTGGCTGTCACTTTATTTACATATCTATGCAACTCGATCTCGTCGTGTGAAACATGTTATAATAAGGAAGCTAGTCTCCTGTAATCCATGGTACAATTATAAAAGGTAACAGCAAATCCCAGCTGATTTGATTCCATCGTATTGCTAGTGTCAATATGAATTTGACAAATTATGTTTTAAAAAATCACCCAACAGGAAAATTGGGAATGCATACAATTTGAAATTGTTCTTTATTAAATGTGCTCCCGTATTCAATTTACTCAATCTGCCTCATGGGAAAGTTTCAGGAAGCAAATCTTTCTTCAAGGAATAACTCGCTATTCCCAGCATTTTCATATGTGTTACACATATATGTGGCAATGGCTCAATTATAGGAAAGATGTGGAAGCGATAGAAATATAAATTTGAAAGATTTTCATTCATGTTTTTCAATTTTTATTTTGAGGATTCGAAAATATTTAATTTTCAAAATAGAAATAGTTTGATGATAATTTGTTTGTTTGTTTACATTTTTCCGTCAAATGAGTTGACACTAGTAGAACTTACAACAACAAATTTCCATGTGGTTGTTGTATCGTTTTTTGTACAACAACACTTGCTGTTACCTTCTATTATTATACAATGCCTGTAATCATATGTTTAAAACATTTCTTGCTGTACCATGGCATAATTATACAGTCATATGTTTCCAATTTTTTCATAAATTTGCCTTTGACAGTATTCAGCTTTCAAAATGTAAATGAAAATACTTTCTTCGGTGGCAAAAATTGCTAAATAATTTATATTTATGAATATTTGAAGTTCCCTGCCTCTAAAACGTATAAATAAATATCAAAATAGACTAGGAAGCATGCATGAGTAAAACAGAAGGAGCAATTATTCGTCTTAAGCAGAAGGTGCCGATTACCAGTCCAACATTTCAAGACTGGTGGTCACATGCTGGTCAGGATCGTGCACCAGCTAATTAGTACAATTTGGCTAGAGGAATGCCTGTCCAATGATTGAAACCACAGCATTCTGTGCCCCGTACACAAAAACGGAGTCAAGACGATATGTGCCAACTTTAGAGGAAAGTCTTCTCATCGCATATAATGTGCTATACAGCGTATTGTGTGAACGAGTGAAGCCTAGGGTCAATGACATTATTGGACCATACGAATGCGGCTTCAGACCTGGCAAACGCACCATATACTAGATTTTCACACTTCGCCAAATCCTGGAAATACATCAACACATTCCACCTATAAATCCGCATTTGACAACCTAATACGACATTTACATTAGAACTTTTTACCGGGTTAACCTACTTTATGAGGATTTACTTGGCATATATTCAAAGGAATTGACAATTTAAACCCACTGGGTTAATCAAATCCGGTACAATGTAAACGTAGTTTAATCCGCTTAGAGGTGTTTAAAGCAGCGTTCGAACAGCGACTGCGTTGTCTAGGTTATGTTGTGAGAATGGATGAGGATGCTCCAGCTCAAAAGGCATATAAGAGCGAGCCAGCTGAGAGTTCATTCAGAAGGGGAAAGCCTCGAATATGAGGGAAAGATCAAGTGGAAGACAACATCTCGGTTTTTCAAATTGGATGAGCTGCGCACAAGACCCACGCGCCTTGAATTCTTTTCTTAAGGTAGGCTTATGGAACAAACGTTTTGTCACAAGCATTTTTATAACTTGTACACCACTACAAATAGTCGAATATATAGTTATTACAAATATATTCCAATTTTATTGAAATGAAAATGATTTTTACCACATTCATTTGGAAGTAGTTACTTTGTTATGGAGAAAACAAACATTTCATGTTAGTCAATCTCCGATTTTGGGAAGAAATCATAACCTTTTATTACTTTTTTCTAGTTTTTGGTTATAGTACGTTTACATTTAACCAGATTTCATTAACCCGGTGGGTTTCAATTGTCAATTCCTTTGTATACATGTCAAATAAATCCTCATAAAGTAGGTTAACCCGGTAAAAAGTTCTAATGTATATGCCGTTTTATGTGTTGTTGCGTTTGTGTTTTATATTTGACAGAAGAAGCCACTACTTACATAGTTGATTTTTTGTTATTCACAACCATTTATCCTACCTTGTATTATTGTATCCTGATTATATTCCTTTGATTGTCGTTGAATTTGTATATATTTTCGGTTGCAATAAATATGGTAACTACATCACATGGGTCATAGACCTTATGAAGCAATAACCTTCAAAGTAAGTCTTATCAATCACCTGTAAAGTGCACGGTTGTAATGCAAAATACTGATGTGTAGAATACTGATGTGTAGAATACTGATGATAATACATGGTAGACAATGTTTTGACAAGAAGAAATTCAACTCTACTTAACGACTTCGGATGGCAAAATAAATAAAAACAAATACAAATGATTTATTTATCATAGAATAAGGAAATATATGGTCTGTTTCCGTACTGCAAGAATCTACTAATTTTTACTATTTTTCCGATAACATAAAGGAAAAATTGTTATCGTAGTAAAAATTTGTACATTCTTGCAGGTTCTGGAACAGACCAATAATTAAATGTTTTTGTCAATCCATGATACAAGAATACAAGTTAGGACAACTTGAAGTGAGTAACAAAAAAGCAACTATGTAGGTACTGGCTTCTCCTGTCAAATATAAAAAAAATTTATGGAGCAAGTGGTTGTGTTTATTTGACATTTTTTCAACACATAACTAAAAACTCCAAAAATTAACTGAAAGGTTGTGAATTCATTCCAAAATCCCAGTAGAGATTATCATGAAATGTTAGTTTCATCCATAACAAAGTAATTACTTCATGTCAATTAAATTTGTAAAAATCATGTTCATGTCAATTAAATTTGAATATATTTCAATTCAATTTGATATTTTTGACTTGGTATTCAAATTGGTACAAATTGGAATTTTGTGGAATTAAGATTACAGTTAGAGCGTAGGATTGATGTAGTTTTACAAATTCTTACTTATGAGTATGGGAAGTACTAAATTTTACTAAATTTGGTATATTTTGGATTTGGGTGTATCGATAGAGCTGGAATCCTGAGATTTGGAATTTAGATTACTGTTGAAGTGTAGGATTGAGTTATGGGGACAGCTTTTCGAATGCGAATTTATGTGTATAAATAGTACTAAATGCACTAGATTTGGAACAATTTGGGTAAATGTTGGATAATTTATAGTTAGAAGAGTATAAATGTGTATGAAGAGTATAAATCATCGATGCTCAAAAATTCCCAAAATCATACGTTAGCGTAAATGGTAAAAACGCAATCTCATTTGTTTTCTTTTCAATTACGTTCACCTACATTTACTCTCACTTAGTCATCCAGCTAGCAAAAGTCAGATGTTTTTTTTTTCTCAAGCCTAATGTCAAAAATTGGGACTATGTTTATGTTTTTATAATGGAAAGTCCATTCACAATATTGGATTTGACAGCAAGCTGATTTTTGCTAGCTGGGTGACCACAAAAACTATAAATAAGGTCGTCTAGGGAGACCAGCTGGATATCAGCTGCCTCTCAAGTTTGTTGTCAAAATCCATTATTGTGAATTGACTTCCATTATGAAAACGTAAACAAAGACTACATTTTTGACATTAGACTTGGGAAAAAAACAGCTGACTTTCGCTAGCTGGGTGACCTTAAGGCCTATAGATAAGGTCACCCAGGGAGACCAGTTGGATATCCACAGCCACTCAAGTTTGCTGTCAAACTTCATTATTGTGAATTGAATTTTATTATGAAAACGTAAACAAAGTTTAAATTTTTGACATTAGACTTGAGAAAAAACAGCTGTTTTCCGATTTCTATTGCTACCTGGTGACCTTATTAATAGAACTTGGGTGACCTTTTTCATAGATCTTGGACTTGTCGCTTGCTGGATGTCCTTATTAAGATACCTTGTTTAGGCGCTATTTCAATTCGGTTTTTATTGCATCAAATGGAAATGGACATTGCAGATTTTTCTGAATTGGAAGAACTGTCCTTGAAATATCTGGGTCTTATTTATCATACTCACTATGGCAATAAAAAGTGTTTATATATCGAGGGACCTATTAAAGCAAATGTAAGTGAACTGATATACTTCCTTATTAACAACAAAAATAAAATAAAAATTTATAGGACATTTGGATTAATGTAAAAATCATTTGCCCCAATTATCCTTCATTGCAAGGTGTCACTCTACAAGTGCAACAAAATTTTAACATCGTAACAATTTCTCAAAGTGATGGAAGTAAGATCAATTGTAATTGGACTATTGGTGAACTTGTGGATAATATTTCAATATTATACGATAGATTGGAAAAGGATAACGATGAAAACAACATAGCACAATTAGAACATGAAAATATCTATGCAGAAGTAGCCGGTCTATATCTACCTGCTGAATATGAAATTCAAACAAATGAATTATGTTCCCGTGTAAAGTTTTGTAATTTTTCCCAAAACGAGCAGCATTATTTGGATGTAGCTCTTCCATCATTACAAATATTGGATCACAGTTTGCCGCACTGTATCGATGTGTTGGAGTTATTGGGCAAATCTTCTTCGCTGACAGCTTTACTGCAACAATTTCGTAAACTCCTGGAGGACTTGACTCCATTTTATGAGAATTTCACTGAAATCGATGAGCTATGTCATGTTGTACAGCCCAGCTTACCAACCACCAAAGAAAATTGGCGTCTGTTTGTTTTGAAAGAACGAATATTTATAAAACTTCAGTTCTCGGATCCATTTAATCCGTTAACTTCGATGAGTGTACACTTGATTGGACCAACAACAGAGATAACAAATCTACGTAGGGTATACAGCGAAGGCTTACGTGATTGGGATGGTGAATTGGATGTGCATAAAAATCTATTGCGTATTTTTGATCTGTGCTTCTTTCCAATGCCACCTGCCGATGATGATGCAATGAATGACACCGGCTATTGTAATATATGTTATAGTTATAAATTGGAACGTGGCGAAATACCCATAATATCTTGTGATAATTCGCATTGCAATCTAATATTCCATGCAGAATGTTTAAAAGAATGGTTTAATACGTTGGCCGATGGAAAGACATTTTTGGATGTTGCATTTGGTGCTTGTCCCTTTTGTAAATCGGTGGGTATTTCCCTATTGTATATATGTATTTATATACCTATTTTAAATATCTTGTATATTTTCCAGAAACTTTCAACATCCTTTCAAGAATTGCTACAACAATAAGTGATGCAATACAAAAGGTAATTGTTATTAAGGATTTGGTGCGATCAAAATCTAAATAGTATATTCAACATACACACATATCTTAAAATTGTCGGAATGGTATACAATTGTAATACTACACCAAGTATTATACCTTCTATTATTTTACTATTGAAACAATTTTGTATTGGGTTGGTGGAAATAGAAGTCAGAGTAGTAATCGGTGAAACATGGAGATGATACACTTATTTACATTCCCACCAACCTATCCAACCTTATGTTATGTCCACTCGGACCTACGAAGCATATATTGTCATTGAAAGATACCTTCTAGGAGCGGACCAAGGAAAGCAGTGGTCTTCGGGCTCAATTTTATAAATTTCATATTGCTAATACTATCAAACAAATCTTTGGTGGAATCTTTTTGAAAAGGGGGAGTAATTTAATCTTCAATTGACTTGTACATATTTTATTTCTCGCATATTCAACTTTACAAAGAAAAGAATAATAAACAACATAAGCCAATTAAAAATGCAAATGATACAACAATAACAAATTAAATAGTATAATAAATGTTACATTTTCAACTATAACTGGAAATGCATAACGAAGCATTGGTACCACCAAAACCAAAAGAATTCTTTAAGGCAATACGTAGCTTACTTCCATCCTCATTCCATGCTTCCGGCTTTGATACAATCCGCACCTGTACACTCTCATCCAGCTCGTCCACATTTATTGATGGTGGCAATTTATTCTCATAGCAACCTTGTATCAGAAAAGCAGCTTCCAAATTACCCGATGAACCCAACAAATGACCATGAGCTCCCTTTGTTGATGATACCCGAACATTTGCTGTGTGATCTCCAAAAACTCTTTGAATGGCACGTGCCTCAATTCGATCACCTGTAGGCGTTGAAGTGGCATGGGCATTCACATATGTTATCTCTTCCGGTTTTACTCCAGCATCTTTAATGGCTCGTTGCATGGCCAATGTAGCCCCAGTACCATCTTCACTGGGAGAAGTAATGTGATAGGCATCTCCCGATAAACCATAACCTAAGATCTCGGCTAATATAGGTGCATTACGTTTACGTGCATATTCCAACTCCTCCAAAATCAAAATGGCCGAACCTTCACCCATAACAAATCCATCTCGTTTCTTATCAAATGGTCGGGAAGCTTTTTCGGGTGTTTCATTAAAAGAAGTACTCAGGGCGCGAAGTCTACAAAAACCAGCAATGGATAAGGGATCAATACACGATTCACCACTGCCAGCAATCATAACATCAGCATCACCATTGCGTATGAAACGCATGGCATCTCCAATTGCATGGGCTCCCGTTGCACATGCTGTGGAAACAGAGTGATTTGGTCCTCGCAAGCCATATTTCATACTTATGTGACCACATGCCATATTTGGCAGGAGACGGGGTACAAAAAAGGGACTTACACGATTATAGCCACGTTGTAATTGTTGCCAGGCGCCGTAGACTTCGCTTAAATCAAACATACCCATACCAACACAAACACCAATGCGTTCTAACTCTTCGACACTCAAATCTTTTGTATTTAATTTAGCTCCCCTCAATGCCTCTTCTGTGGCCAAAATTGACAGTTGCGTGGCAGGACTCATTAGTTTGATATCACTTTTTGTAAGATGTTGCTCCAAGGGAAGTTCTTCCTTCTTGATTTGTGCCGCCACCTGACACGGTAGACCCTTGTAGGCATCGCTTAATTTGGAAATGGCTGATTCGCAATTTAACAATCGTTGCCATGATTCTTTGAGATTATTACCCAATGGTGAGATAGCTCCAATTCCTGTTACCACTACTCTCCTTTTAGCACCATATGTGGGTTTGGTAGTTGATAGTCTGCGGATATATTGCTGAGTATATCCAGGTCTAGATAGTTTTATTACGAAATTCATATCGAGCTTAGCGAACTGCCGGCAAGTTATAGATGGAATTCGAAACAGCTGTTTTTTGCTGATATTAGGTGTGTCTGGTTACTTTTCCAGTAACATTTATTCAGTAAGTTCTAGTTCAGAGAGTAAGCCTTTCTTTTACTCTCTTTTACGGTAATACTGAAAAAAGTAAACAGACAACATTTAATAAGTTTTAGCAAATAAACAGCTGATTCAAGAAAACATTTGATTTGCGCCAAAATAAGCAACAAACAAAGGACAAACACAATTATTTGTATTGCATTTAATATTAAAAATAAAATGAATAATAAAACAAAAATTGATTTGGTATGTTCCACGGGAACATTTACGCTTCCAGCATCAATACATTGTCCTCTATCTGGAACTTGCCTAAAAATATATAAGGAATTAGTTTCTAATAATTTGCATTACTTACGAATTTTCTTCCATTTTCTGTAATTAACTTCAAATTGAACTTTGCAAATTAAAAAAAAAATGTTTTAAATAATTTTTGTGTTTGGTCAGAAAACAGCTGATCAGAAAATAGCTGAGTTGCAAAATCTTACTGAATAAAATTCTTTCAGTAACCTCCAGCAACTTTGTTGTTGTTCAACTGTCAAACTTGCTCTCTCACTTGACTCTCTTTTACAGGATTTTTGTGTAAACAGACAACATTTACAGCCTTATTCTGGATATTCGCTGGGAGATATCTCGCATGCACAAAAATTTTCGCTTTCACATTCTCGCCTTATTCTGAATGAATAGGGAGACGCAAAAAATGCGAGATGAGGATTCGAGTTTTCGAAAATGGTGGTTGAAAAAAAGATTCGTGTTGCCATATTATAATTTAAGTTGTAATGTGTGTTGCCATATTGTAATTTAAGTTGTAATGTATGTTGCCCCATTGTATTTTAATTGTGTAATATTTTTCAATATTTTATTTATTGATTATTTTATTAAAAATTGTTACTTGTTATTGTTGTTTAAACTTTATAACAATACAAATGTGAAATATCAAGAATCCGCTTTATAAATGCTTTGTAATTAAAAGAAAATTAATTATAGTTTGAAAATATGGCAACCTACAATATGACATGTGAAACAGCTGTTCATAGTTTTGATGCAATTTGGTACAACAACTACAATAGATTACAAATAAAAGAACATTTTTTATGATGGCAAAAACACAGGCACATAATTGTGTGCCTTTTAATTTAATTTCGATATTTTATCTCTCCAACTTCTTAAAGTGACCTACTCCTTTATTTCTTCCTTCAAATAATGCAAACGATAATTTAAAAAATATATATTTTTTTGTAGTTTTTTTTGTGTTGTTTCATAATTTGTATTTAAGTTTTCACTGTAAAGCGGCTCATTAGGCAAATTTGGTTTTTCTATAATTTTTTTCTTGAGAGACAGATCCTCACCCAAAATGTCTGTTTTTTCGCCTCCCAAATGCATCAAACTCGACTTAAATATTCATTATTACCTTTACACATTCCTTGGCAATATTTGGTTCAGCAGGCATCATTATCAATAGGATTTCCAAAGGCATTTTATTTGCTGTTTTCCAGATAAATATTTGCTTATTATCATTTATAATATTCTAAATCGTCATAGAATATGTATTGTGTTAATATTTTTCATAAAAATATTTATAACTTATGTTTTTGTAGTCAACTCACTTTGAATTTATTAGCGAAAAATTTCGCACAAAATTTCATCTCATTCTCCTACTCCCTGTAATCCAGAATACCTAATTTTTCCTCAAAGCGGAATTTTTCGCTTTCGAACTTCATTCAGAATAAGGCGAAAGCGAGAATGCGAAAAAATTCACACAAAAATGTTGTTCAGAATAAGACGAAGGGGAAGAGCGAGTAAATTCACGTGGAACTGACATCCTGAATAAGGCTGTTAGTAACATTTGGTAACAATTGTTACCAAATATCGAGTTAACAGACAGAGCTATTTATTTATCTATCTATTTCTTACTGAAATAAGAAATAGATAAATGTGGAATTAATTATGTATTTAATATGATATTTCGAAAACTAAAATGAAAAAGTGTTTTTATATAAATTATTACTATTTATTTGTAATTTCCCTTACTAATATTAGGTTCGTTCGTTTACTCAATAATTTGTACAAATTATTACAAAATGTTGTTCGTTTACCCAAAAGTCCAGTAAAAGAGAGTGAATTGAGAGAGCAGATTTGACAGTTGTGTTACTGAGTATTTGCAAATTCTTACAAGAAAAATTTACTCAGTAAGAATTTTCTTGTACCAACAGCTGATATTTAATCAGCTGTTTTGCTATATTTTGTAAACAAACAACAAAATTGTCCTCAACCAAATTGATTGTTTTGTGAATTTTATATTGGTTTTGTATTATTAAACATTAAAAAAATTGATAAAGAAAACGCAAGTATTGGCAAACAACATACATTTTCCGCTTGTTATCAATTTTTCTAATAAAAATTCTGTTTTTTAGTTTGCGCCAATTTGTTTGTTTTAATTAGCAGTGTCGAAACAATCTTTTTACTGGATGTTGTTCGTTTACTTTTTGCAGTTTTCTCTCTTGAGAAGGAAAAAATCGTATTTACTCTCTGCAAATTCTTACTGAGTAAATATTACTGGGAAAGTAAACGAACGAACCTATTTATATTTTTAAAAAAGAAAAATTGCAAAATAAAAGTTTCGTTCCAGAACCTAAAAGAATCTACTCATTTTACATGTTATGCAACTTTTTACTCGAAAACCGTTCCTCAACCCACAAAACTGGTAAAACATTGACTCAAATTTAAGAGAGCACAAAACAAAATGGCGTTCTCTTTGAAAACTTTTTACTCGTGAAATTTGGTCGAGTAAAAATGGTAAACAGGAATGCCTACTTCTGATTGGCTGTTATGTTGATTTTGAAGTATTGCCATCTAATTTTGGCATAATTACTAGATTTGCGTTCCCGAACTTTTCCAATTATTTTGTACTCTGAGAGCAATTTTGAAATGTTTCCCTTTTACTAGATTTACTATTAAAAAAGTACTGGAACAGACCAAAATTGTATTGCTATTTTCTACGTTAACCAACACTTATGAACAGCTGACAATATCCGTCACTTCCACTGAACATGTTGTGAACACAATGAGGACTGCTGATAAAAAACTTAAATCAGTGAAACGCTTTTTTTACCATTATTTGTATTAATTAATACGAAAGACAATTTAAAAATTAATTAAATAATCAATATATTTTAGTCAACAAATTTTTGTCAAATTGATTAAACACAATAAGAACTCCCGACGCTTTAGGCACTGACACATGATGTGTGTGCATTGTTTGAAATGACAAACGTCAACATACCACTTGGATTGTGTGTTTGTTTGTGTGTTTTGAATTTCTTTACCAGCTGACTGGCATTTTGGTTGTGTAAATCAACATCTTTCTCGACTGCATTTAAATTGAAAAAAATTGTTAATTTCTTAAATAAAAAAAGCAAAAATATGTTAACTGCTGTTCGACAATTGGCAAAAAATCCAGCGGCACTTAGATACTTACACACCACCAAACCAAAAAATGGCTACATTGTTTTGTAAGTAAATGAGCCCCCATTGTCGCCACCGGCATGAGGTCGTTTGAGGTAACCAACAAATTACAAAAACCCTTACCCTTTATCTTACAGAGTACCCGAAATTGGTGAGGAAGGCCAAGCTGGCGATGTTATTGTTAAGCCAGATGGTTTGCCAGCTTTCAATGACATAACAATTGAAAATTGTTTAGGAGCCATTGGAAGTCAGGCTGGTGCAGTCGAGAAGCTGGTCAAGCGTGTCGAAAGTGAGATACAAGAGCTGCCGGAAAATGAGAAAATTGATGTTGGTCGGGTATTTAAGGAATTCGATGAAGTCACTGGACCCCTGGATACAACATGGGGTATTGCCAAGGCATTGTATTTGGGCAACAGTACTCTAATACCCACCAAGTCGTATATGAACATACATGAACGTGCTAGAAATGCTAGAGCTTCCAGATTCTGTAATAAGACACTATTTGAAGCCCTTCAAGAACAAGAATCCGAAGATTTACAAAATCCACAAGAAAAACGTCTTTTACAAAAATATCTACTCGAGGGAAAACTAAATGGTTTGAATTTGAACAATGACAGCCGCAATGGACTTAAGGAGATTTTAATGCGTTTGGGAAAGGAAAGAGCCACATTTAAGAACAAAGTAAATGTTTCAGTGCATAGCTTTGCCCATGTTGTCAATGATTATCAGTTGGTAAGAGATTTCCCGTCAACCCTCTTGGAGGCCACCGCTATTGACCCAAATGCCCCCATTACCCAAGGACCATGGAAATTTACATTACAACCACAAATTGTCGAAGGCTTCCTGAAATACTGTCCAGATCGTATGCAACGTTGGAATATATGGCAAGCTAACACCCGTAAAGCCTCCAACTACATTGAACAAAGTTTAGAGAATAGTACACACTTGGAAAAAATCCGTGCTCTACGTCGCCGCCAAGCCAAGGCATTAGGATATCCAAATTTTGCCACAATGTCCATGCAAACCAAAATGGTCAAAGAAATTCCAGAGCTAAAGCAAGTCTTCTCCAAACTTTTACAGTTTGCCGGGCCAGCCCAATCTGTGGAAATTGAAAACTTACAACAATTTGCCAGCAAGAGTGGCTTTGAGCATAAGTTGGAGTTGTGTGACATCACCTATTGGCAGCGTAAATATCTGCTATCGGAACACAAGTTAGATGAAGAGGCACTACGCGTCTATTTCCCATTGCCTCGGGTATTCTCGGGCCTGTTTGCTCTAAGCGAGAAATTGTTTAACATTAAAATTGTAGAACGTAAAGACGCCCAGGTGTGGCAACCAGCTGTAAAATATTTTGATGTCTTTGATTGCGATGCTGCCAACAGCAATCACCCCATTGGAGGTTTCTATGTCGACTGTTATTCCAAAGAGAATAAATTCGGCAAAAACAATGGCTGGATGGTTAGTGTGCGTAATCGCAATGATGCTGCTCGTTTGTCACCATTGTGTGCTTTGATTTTCAATTTCAATGCACCAGTCGATGATAAACCATATCTATTGAATATAGATGATTTGAAGATGGTATTCAAGACGTTTGGTTCGGCCATGCAACATCTCCTGACACGAGCTTCATTTACCGACTTGGCTGGCTTGTCAGGTGTTGAATGGGATGCCTCACAGGTGGCCAGTCATGTTATGTGCAACTTTTTGGATAATCCCACCATTTTGAAAACTGTATCCGGACACATTGAGACCGACGAAGCTTTGCCCGATGATTTGGCTAAAAATGTTCGCCTGCTAAAGACACACCTGGCTGGTTATAATTTATGCCAAGAACTGTATCTCTCCGATTTAGATATCGAACTTCATCAATCAGAACAATTTTGGGCCGAAATTGTGAGAAAACTTTGGCCCGTTTACAGATGTTTGCCGTTGGACAAAAAAGATTCTCATCCCTGTTCGTGGACGGAGATCTTTTCCGGTGATTGGGGTGCAGCATATTTCAGCCATTTGTATTCGAAAATGATTGCTGCCGATATTTCCGATGCATTTTTGGAGAACTCTACAGATATTAGTGCTGTGGGCAAACGTTTTAAGGACACTTTCTTGGCATCGGGTAGCACAATGCCCACCGCTGAGGTATTCCGTCATTTCCGTGGTCGTGATCCTTCGGTTGAAGCTCTTCTTAAATCATTAGACATTTCAACAGTGTCACAAACATCTGGAGATTTGTAAACGAAAGGAAAAAAACACACACACACAACCTTATTGTCAATTTTTTGTTTGTTTATTACATTTGCGCTAGTTTTACTTTTGTTGTTGTAGTATATGAGAGTATATTTATAAAATATTGTCATGAAATTGTATGATGTTAAGCAGGACCATGGAATGGAATAAAATCAATGAAATCTTAAAAACACAAATTGTTTGTGCTCGGCTAATAATGAATGAATTAATGCCATGCTAACGAGGAGGAATCGTGGAATAGTGAATGGTGCAATTTAATAAATGATGTGCATCGTAAGGGGGGCATTGAAGTCAAAACTAGTATGGACGCGATTGACAGCTTTCAGATGGTAATACTGTAAAATGCGACAGAGTAGTTCTTAACTTTACTAAGCGGTATTTTTTTTTGTTATGGTTACCAAACCAGAGGGGAACCCAATCGCATATTACTAGAAGACTGCAAAATATATCGTAATTTGTAATTTCCTATTATTCACATTTTCTATTATTGTTTTCTTTGATAAGCCATTTTACAATGCAAAAATTGATAAAGAATAAATTCAAGTTATCTATTTCCTGCTTTTATTTAGCAAACAGGTTACCATATATTTTAGGTCAATAAATCATTGTCGTCATTTACAGACAAATATAGAAAAAAAATCATTTTTCCAATGAAAGTATTGGTATAAAATTTACAGTGCAACTGGGTATATGTTTTATAAAAAAAATATTGTCTTATCACCAACGAACAACAGGGTTGAAACGTCTAATGGTACAAACAAACCTATTTAATGCGATAGGATTTTTCCATATTTATATAACTATTAAGAAGATCTTACCAATCTTATCATAGAAATCACGGCATGGGTATATATGTATACCTATAAGTTGAACTCTTACTTCCCCGATCTTCGTTGTGAGATGATCTTGATCTTTGAGGCCCTGTATCCCGATTCCGACAAGACCGGGTGTATAACATCCGCCGAAAAATCTCTGCTAGGGATTATATTTAAAGAAATCGAAATTAGAGGACATTTATTCACCACCGAATGCGCCTTCATATCAACGAAACTTAGCACACATTATTCTAGCCTCAATTTGATACCCTATGCACAATTTCGTGTAAATCAAATGAAATATAGTGTCTTGGTGCATCGTTTATATAAAATCGGAAGCAAATATGTATATATGGCAGAAACGATTTTCATGAAACATAGCAGACGTCATTATAAATTCAATTCCGAATGATAATCCGAATTTCGTCTTAATCGGACAATCATTGTGAAAAAATAAATAAAATCGGATATATATATATATATATATATATGGGAGGTATATCTACATCTGAAGCACACTTCAATTTACACTCAATTTAATACGATATGCAAAATTTCGTCTCCATCGGACAGACAATGGAAGTTTGGTGTGTATGTACATAAAATCGGAAAATTTAGATGGGAGCTCTATCTAATTTGGTACCGATTTCCACAAAACTTAATAAATGCCATTCTATAGGTTAGCCGGAGAGATTGTGCCACTTCTATTGGTTTTAGCCATAAGTTTATAGGTAATAGACTTGTAGGCTCGGACGGACAATTGAATAGATGGTGTGTGTCGTGAGGGCTTAGCTGGCAGGAGGGGCACCTGTTTAGGGTTCCGGGGACAATGCGCTCCCGATAAGAGTTGAGAACATTGCTGTATCCGGACCTTAGTTGTGCCAGAATTGAACGGGTTTGGCTAGGAAGAAGCCTCTTACTCTCCGAAATTGCAGGAGGATGTTGTTGTAGGACTTTATTGCATCTGTAGCCATTTGATGCACGGATTTCATCGCGTTCGCTATCGACAATCTGTTGACGTCCGATGGAAAGACGTCTTGGATGCCATCACGATAGTGGATCTGCCATCACTGTGTGATGGTTAGGATGACACGGCAATTAGCATGCCAGCAGGAACTGTCTAGTCAACAACACATTATGTTGCTTGACTGACAGCATCATGGTCTCCTCATTGAGGTGATCGACGCTCGTCATCTGGACACAGCCGGTTGCAATTCGGAGTGCATTATTTTGAGTTGTTTGCAAGGATCTCCATTGTGTGTCACTAAGGAAAGAAGTCCAGACCTTATAAGTCGTTACCAGCGTTTCTTTATCCTTGTCCCAGGAGGTGCCAGCCAAAGCTTTCAGAACTTTATTCCTAGCTTTCACCTTCTGGTTGATGTAATTGGAATGTGAGGAGAAATGAAGGAGGTTATCAAAGACCACCCCAAGGATTTTCGGATTAAGGCGGTGGGGATGCGCCTACCTTCAACTGAAATGTCAAGTTCTAGATTGACTTCTCGCGTCTAGGAAGTGAAAAGTGGCACAGTAGACTTTGCAGTGAATAATTTTAGATTGCGCTCCTGTTTTGTTGTATGAATTGTTGTCATTTTAATGGTAACTTAATAATGCCTCTCTCATAGTCCTGCTCTCTAGTTGCAAAAAACTCTAGTAGTCGATTTTCACAATCCTCCCAAGATACCAATTTTTTATCATTAAAGAAATTTTGCAATGCAAGAAAAAGTGCCACTTTCGGACTGTATAGCGGATGCATTAAAACTTCCCAACCAAGCTCCCAAATTTTCTAGCGAGTCACTGTAGATCTGTGTGGCCTAGCGTTGTCCAAGTGCAATACGACACCTCTCCCTCCAATTGTGGCCGTTTCTGATCAATTGTAAATGGTTTAAACAGTTTTTTAGCTCCTGGGAGATGTTACGACTGCTAACATGCCGCTCAACTTCGTTCATTTCTCCGATTGTATGGACATTTCCGACGACTAAATTTTCTCTTTGTTTACTTCCATTTTAACACTTCACAGATTTGCTCTGCGGGGCAGCAAATCTACTACATCGAGTAGAGTAGTGGGCTTCGCCGATTCCGCTACTCTACTCGATTCAGTGGTCCCCTTGGAGATTTTAGATCGAGCAGTTAGATTCGGGAGGGAGATCCTCTCCATGTGGAGCTCACGATGGAGAGCGTGCGCGTAAATTCTTTCGAACTTCCTTATGAATCTCAATTTGCCCTTATTGATATGAACCTCGCTCTCCGAAAGCAAATTCGCGTCTCGCCCCCCGAATTTGCGAAGATACGATACGGCACGTTTGTAGTGCTTCGCATCGGATACTTCTCGGGCATTTCCAACCTTTAAGCCGCTGTCCGTTGCTGGGGGTCTCGATAGATTCCCCATCGTCGGACATCGCCTCCGTCGCAGTTTGCCTTCGATGTTTATTGTCGGCAAGTGCCGACACAGAACCCGTTTGAGTTTGACTTGAAGTCGGTCGGTAAACAAGGTCTACGCTTCCTTCGTTGAGGCTACAACAATCCCCCTGTATAAACTTGGCGGGAATCACCGTGGTGTCCAGTTCATCATCGGTCAGGGTAAGATTTAGTAGCAGTTCCTCCGGAAGCGTATTCCCAGTTTGCTCTTCCGATACAAGCCTGTCTAGTTGGTCGAAGATTTTTCTACTCCGTTCCGTTTGCTCGTTTACCAATTGAATTGTCACTGCTCGTCGCCGTTATTAGGGTTTGAAATTGAGCGCTTGTAGCAGGTATAACTGCAGGTGCCAAGGCATCCACACCTAAAGCAGCCGGATCACAATCGCTTGATCTCGACGACACCTGGCTGTGGTCTCACCAACGATTGCCGCCGGTACTGGGTTTTTAACTACATGCACCGTAACTTTATTCCTTTTGTTGTTCTTCTTTATCATCTTAGTTTATTAATTTAAGGGCACTACCCCGATGATCCATTTTGGTCCCGGGGGTCCGAAGATCCCCAAGGTTTCCACGAAGTGCAGAGAAAAGTTGACCTAGGTCAGTTTCACCCTGCACATCATGAAGACCCCCCTTTCCATTCGCCACCCGGAAAGAGGCGCCTAGTAGGAGATTGGCAACTCCCGTAAATCTAAACCGATTTTCACCAATTTCAATCGGGTTTGTCATTGGGCTGAATTTTATCTTATTCCAACTATGCTAATGTGGCTTCCAGGAGATTTGTAAATGCAATCAATAGTGTGGCCTACAATACAAATTAGACAAATATGGCTCCTGAATAAAGGTCAGAGAATTATTTCAGCCCTCATTGGGCTCCAAATTAAATACCGAGTAGTACAAATTTGCTTTTTTATTGACATAGATCCTATTTATATCCGTTTTAAGGGTTATCATTTGAATTCTAATATTATGTTAGGTTATGTTTGGGGATGTGCAGTCACTTATGTGACTGCAGCACTCTGAGACTGTTAGGTCCGTTGTGATTATCCACGAGAAGAAAAGAGATAAGGAGAGATCTATAGGGGAGAGACAATTGAGAAGCTTACAGAAAGATATAAGAAGGTAAGTTTGAAATTATATCGATGGCTATAGAGATCAGACAGAAGATGTATTACGTGCCAAGGTTGCACTTTCCCAACCACTTTAGGTTTCTAATTATGCTGTAGATAAAATCAGGTTCAGTTGTTGAGAAGAAGCTAAGACTCGGTGGAAAATGAGCACTCACTAGTCTGTGCCGCCTGTAAGCCAGGGCTGGACAGTGACACAGAAGATTGTCTCCGTCTCCTCCTCGTCAGTAATCAATTGCATCATGATCCCATTTTCTAGTAAAGACCCTGATGTCATGATTCCTGTCATTACTCTTATTTCAGCTTTGCTTAGGTTCAACAGTAAGCGTGTCCTTCTGGTAGGGAGAGTCGGCCAAATGGATCTTGACACATTGCACCTAGGTTCGTTGTGCCAAAGTTCATAGGCTCTTTCGTCGAAGAACGCATCAAAGTTCCGGTAAAGATGACATATGGGTGGTTTGATTGAGTCATTAATTGCTATATCTGTGGATTGAGATCCCTGTCTGCTCTTTCACGGTGTCCTGGTACCCAACATAGCGGATAGCTGTAAGTTCATCCAAAGCTGCTCTACACTTGAGGACGGCCTCAGATTTGACATAACAAGATTTGATGGCTTTAGAGCCGATTGACTATCCACGAAGATAGTCACCGGTTTAAGACCTCTGCATCCAAGCTTTTTATCAATTCCTCTGCCTTGTAGATTAACACAAGTCCTAGCCTTTCACAGTAGACGCCCGCTCCTCTACCTTCTTCCATCTTGGATCCGTCTGTATAGAAGTCCAGACCGTCCAGGGGAGGGTTACTTCGGTTCCAGTCGTCTCTACTAAGAATGACGCTTAGTTTTACGCGTTGGTCCAATGTTATACATGGCTCGTTCAAAATACGACCATGCCAAAAGGCACAACTTCGCCAGAGGTTTTGTTCATGCAGCCTTGGGCGCTACGTGCGGCCTGACACTTAATACTGAGGCCTAGAGGCTTTAAGTTCAGCATAGAGTTCAGAGCTTGTGGCGTACTCCTAATGGCTTCTGTAACTAAAATCGAGGCGGCTCTTTGTACCTTATCTAATTTACTGGAAGTCGACATGTGGCACAGGCGAGTTCCACCACACAAGAGAGCCATAGGATAAGATGGGCCTTAACACGGTTTTATACAACCAGTGTATAACAAAAACGCCGAGCTTACCCTTCTTAGTGAATATTACCAGTACCGTCTTTGTTGGATTTACACCAAGGCCGTTCGCCCTGGCCCAACATGACAGCGTCAGTAAGGCTCTTGGCATAAGCTCCGAGATTGTTGGCGGAAATTTTCCGGAAATCAACATCACCACGTCGTAAGCATAAGCTATAACTTTGATACCTTTCCCGTGAGAACACCCCTCCCTGAGGTGTACCTCTATTTACCGTTTTCCTGATTTTTGTATCCCACACGCTTGAATTTGTAATTCTGTTGTTTAACATTTTATTTATCCAATACGTAAGGGTTTCTAACAGTACCACCTTCATATATATCCAGATTGTGACTCAGATAAGGTGTGGTCTAAAAAAATTGCAAGTTAAAAAAACATTAACACATGCATACTTATATTCAACATATGGCCAGATAATTTTGGAATTTTATTAAAATTATTTTCTATTAAACTTTCATTGCAGACAAGGTAGTATATGTATATAATGTATTTTTTGACAATAATATTTACTATATTAGCTCAGATGTATTAGCAGCAGTATAACACATAATAAAATCCCTCCCCTATATCTCTCCTCACTCATTATTGTACAAAGTGATTCATAAAAAATGTTTTGTTGCGATATTTTGTTCGCTGTATTAAATCAACAATTGAAACCATTTGCCTATAGATTTTGTGAAATGAAATTGTTTTTGGAAAAAGTGAATTTATTCTGTTGCGAACAAATGTATGTCATCTTCAGTATGAGACATGAGGAGGAGTTGTTTGTAAAGTCATGTTTTATTTTGAATGCAATCGTGTTTTGTTTATTATTATTATCATCATCATCGTCCTCATTGATTAACTAATTAATATTGGTGTTTAACACATACCTAATATATGGCTGATTTATTGTTGCAGTTGTTGACTGTTGATATACTTAAAAACTGTTGATTTTTCTTTTGTTTTTTTCGGTTTTATTTAACATATATTTTTATTTTTTTTTTTCGATTACTTTTTAATATTTTTTGTTTTTATTACATTTATAATTACTGCTTTCTGCTAAAGGCGTGTAGCAATACAAAATAGCAGGGAAGGAAGGAAAAGGAATTCGTTTTATGTTTGTTGTTGTTTTTTTTTTTATTATAAAGTGTTGTCATAGTTGTTATTTTATGTTTTGTTGTTGTTGTTTTTTTTTCTTTCTTTGAGGTGCTTTTCACATACATCCATTGTTGTTGTTTTAAATATTAATAAAGTTATATATGCATGTATGTATATTGTTGTATGTAATATGTATATTGCAAACGAGAATAAAAAATAATAGATAACAATGTGTTTTGGTTTCTTCTTCATGTTGTTGTTGGTTTTCCTGTGATGCATACATTTTGTTTTGTTGTTGTTTTGTAGGGGTTTTTTATAGTACTTTGGAAAAAATGTCTATGCTTTTCTTTGTGTTTGCGTTATTTTTCATTAAGGCCTAATTTAACTACATAATTTTTTGTTTTTAATTTTTCTTTAATGATTTCTATAACTTTTCAGAAATGGGTTTGTGTGTTTTTCATGTTTTTTTAAAAATTATTTTATGATTTTTAGTTTTTATAGTTTTTTTTGTGGTAACAATTTATTTTTATTAATGTTTTGTTTTATTTTTTTAAAAAATATCCTGACATCTGGACCAATCCTGCCGCTTCTTGTGTTCCCAATATTTGCCGGTATGCAAATGGACAATGTTATCAGTGCCTTCTTCACGTTCCTGAGTGAACCAGGCTGGCTGGTATGGCGGGAAGGGTTCACCTTTAGCTGCTGCAGCTTCGGCCTCAGCTTCACGTTGCTTCCTCTTGGCTCGTTGCTTCTCCTCCAGACGCAATTTCTCACGATTACTATCATCCCATAAACCATCTTCCATTAGGCGTTGATCGGGTCTCAGACGTGAGTCTGTGGGCGCCACACCTTCTTCCATTTCGTTAAGTTGGGCCGCCAATGTTGTAAAATTATAGTATTTCTCACTGTCCGGTGGCGGCATATTCCTCTGCCATGCCGTCTTATATGCACCCGTCTGATACACGGGACTATCTGGCGGCCCGGATGTTGAGAGGGCTGGGGCAATTTCAATTCTACTATCCCAAGCACCGCGAATCACCCATTTAACTTCATTGTTACGATTCATGACCACACCTTTGACCCGCCGTTGGGTGTCACGTGAGAAATACGAATATGGTATGTACTTTAGCATACACTTAAGACCGGATGCAGCATTTAGGCCGGTAATTTCCATTTCACCATGTTGATCGACCCATAGCTTGCCAACTATAATATTATTGACAGTAGTAGTGACCTTACGCCAGGTATATTTATGATCGGTTTTGGGAAAATGACAGTAGGCACTGCCCAACGGTATGATCTAGAAATGGAAGAGATTGAGAATAAGATTAGATTAAAAAAAAATAATAATAAAAAATGGTATTATTAAATGCCAATGGGAATTATGGACGAAAACATTAACTGTTAATAAAAAGGGAATAATCCACTTACAGACCAATTGGTCTATATAAAGAACTTTGGTCTCATACAGACCAATTGGTCTTTGTGGTTGGTCTTTATAAAGACAGACCAATTGGTCTCCTGTGGTATACAGAGTCTCAATTGGTCTTTATAAAGACCTGTGGTCTCTATACAGACCAATTGGTCTTTATAAAGACCTGTGGTCTCTATACAGACCAATTGGTCTTTATAAAGACCTGTGGTCTCTATACAGACCAATTGGTCTTTATAAAGACCTGTGGTCTCTATACAGACCAATTGGTCTTTATAAAGACCTGTGGTCTCTATACAGACCAATTGGTCTTTATAAAGACCTGTGGTCTCTATACAGACCAATTGGTCTTTATAAAGACCTGTGGTCTCTATACAGACCAATTGGTCTTTATAAAGACCTGTGGTCTCTATACAGACCAATTGGTCTTTATAAAGACCTGTGGTCTCCATACAGACCAATTGGTCTTTATAAAGACCTGTGGTCTCCATACAGACCAATTGGTCTTTATAAAGACCTGTGGTCTCTATACAGACCAATTGGTCTTTATAAAGACCTGTGGTCTCTATACAGACCAATTGGTCTTTATAAAGACCTGTGGTCTCTTGGTCTTTATAAAGACCTATACAGACCAATTGGTCTTTATAAAGACCTGTGGTCTCTATACAGACCAATTGGTCTTTATAAAGACCTGTGGTCTCTATACAGACCAATTGGTCTTTATAAAGACCTGTGGTCTCTATACAGACCAATTGGTCTTTATAAAGACCTGTGGTCTCTATACAGACCAATTGGTCTTTATAAAGACCTGTGGTCTCTATACAGACCAATTGGTCTTTATAAAGACCTGTGGTCTCTATACAGACCAATTGGTCTTTATAAAGACCTGTGGTCTCTATACAGACCAATTGGTCTTTATAAAGACCTGTGGTCTCTATACAGACCAATTGGTCTTTATAAAGACCTGTGGTCTCTATACAGACCAATTGGTCTTTATAAAGACCTGTGGTCTCTATACAGACCAATTGGTCTTTATAAAGACCTGTGGTCTCTATACAGACCAATTGGTCTTTATAAAGACCTGTGGTCTCTATACAGACCAATTGGTCTTTATAAAGACCTGTGGTCTCTATACAGACCAATTGGTCTTTATAAAGACCTGTGGTCTCTATACAGACCAATTGGTCTTTATAAAGACCTGTGGTCTCTATACAGACCAATTGGTCTTTATAAAGACCTGTGGTCTCTATACAGACCAATTGGTCTTTATAAAGACCTGTGGTCTCTATACAAACCAATTGGTCTTTATAAAGACCTGTGGTCTCTATACAGACCAATTGGTCTTTATAAAGACCTGTGGTCTCTATACAGACCAATTGGTCTTTATAAAGACCTGTGGTCTCTATACAGACCAATTGGTCTTTATAAAGACCTGTGGTCTCTATACAGACCAATTGGTCTTTATAAAGACCTGTGGTCTCTATACAGACCAATTGGTCTTTATAAAGACCTGTGGTCTCTATACAGACCAATTGGTCTTTATAAAGACCTGTGGTCTCTATACAGACCAACTGGTCTTTTTAAAGACCTGTGGTCTCTATACAGACCAATTGGTCTTTATAAATACCTGTGGTCTCTATACAGACCAATTGGTCTTTATAAAGACCTGTAGTCTTTATACAGACCAATTGGTCTTTATAAAGACCTGTAGTCTTTATACAGACCAGTTGGTCTTTATAAAGACCTGTGGTCTCTATACAGACCTGTGGTCTCTATACCAAAAAATTCCAAAAATTAAATTCCCTCCTTGCCGAACTACATAAATAAACAATCGTTATAAATGTGTGTGTCTGCAAAGTAAATTAACGCATAACACATCATGGTCGTGACATCCCAAGTAACAATTGTTTGCCAAATCGAGATCCCCTTCTCTCCTCTAGCGATTCATTTAGTTATTTAAATTAATAGTTATTCGTTTGGACGCGGCAATCAAAGTTCTTCCCTTACAATTTAATAATTATTTTGACCTGAACCTAACAATCACAACAACATCAACAACAATTTTTTAACATACATACACTGTTGTTTGGTACAATGTTATGTGGAAAAGAATCGAATTTAAATACATTGACAGAAATCACTTGCTACATATTGCGTGACGCTAATTATTCAAATGAACGTTGGCTGACAAGAGAGAACAATCAATTTTGTAGGCATTAACAATGGATGGAGGCATGTTCATCAGGAAAATTCTCAAAATGAAATACAAATATTCGAATATCAAAATTCAGTATGTTTTTTTTAAGATTTATAATAGCCGATTTTGAGGGTATCACAAGGACTCATATAAGTTACTACTAAAAATAAGATATATTACCATTTTTATTTTTAGCATTTTTGTGGTTTTACAATTTAAATGTTTTTATTATTTTTATCTAATATCAAAATTCAACTATTAAAGAATTCTATTTTTCTGGAAATGATAGCTCCAAATTGTGACGTATAATTTACTGGCTGTGCCGGGGTTTACCATGCAGACCTCATTTTAAATATTTCATTATTTTACAATTTTAATGCATTCTCAAAAATAACGTGACCAAAAATTTCACTTCGGCATGTTATGCCTATCGTAAAATTGAAAATAAAATTATTTATCGCATTAAAAAAAAACAACAAATCAAAACGTCAGTTGTATAATAAACCTAGCAACAATATTCAACAAAACAACACCACACCAATAATAATTTACACAATCCTAGTAGAAATTTTACCAAAAAGTAAAACGAACCCCCAATATTTATAGTTAAAAAACCACCGAAGGGTAATTTTTTATAATATATTATCAGGTCTTTAAAAATATATAAATTTTACCAATTGGTATACAAAGACACATGGCCTCTATACTGACCAATTGGTCATTTTAAAAACTTGTGGTCTCTATACAGACCAATTGGCCTTTATGCAGACCAATTGGTCTCTATAAAGACCTGTGGTCTTTATGTTATATCTAGATCTGAACCGATTTTTTCCCAATTTAAATAGGGTTCGTCCTTGAGTCATTATAAAAACTTGCGGTCTCTATACAGACCAATTGGTCTTTATGCAGACCAATTGGTCTCTATAAAGACCTGTGGTCTTTATGTTATATCTAAATCTGAACCGATTTTTTCCTAATTTAAATAGGGTTCGTCCTTGAGCCGGATAAGTGACCTATGCCAAATTTCATGCAATTCGAATCATAAATGTGACCTGTACTTGTTTACAATTTCGCACGGACAGACAAACGGACATGCATAAATCGACTCAGAAAATGATTCTATGCATATTCTCAAAAGGAACCAAGCAAACATATGCACAAATACATAATACCCTGTGCCACAGTGTGGTGAAGGATGTAAAAAAGAGAAGTCCTTTTAATTTTATGCATTATTATTTTTTGGTTGAACTATTACGATTTTCAAAATGCCAACAAACAAAGCCACAATAAATGAATATAGTTTTTTCAACGATTTTATCAAATATTCGTGCTCAATCCCTAATTGGAAATAAGGTCAGATAAGAAAAAAAAAACTAATTCTAAAAATCGTATACATCATAATATATATTTACAATATTATTAATTGTAAATTTCGTTTCAAGAAACAAAAAAAAAACTGCAATATATTTTTGATTCTATATAAAACAGTTGTTTTCAGCTAAATTAGTCATTTATATTATTTATGTTGAATGTTTCTCTAGTTATATGTATATATTATGTATAGCTTAATGCAAATGTTTACACAGAGGGAACCGCTCGCTGAGCCAAAAGAAATATAAGTACGTAGCGATGTGTATTTGTACTCGGTTTTATTTGCTTTTGTTGTCTCATAAGTGTTGGGCTCGTACAAATCAAATTTAACAAAAAAAAAAAAAAAATATAATAGGGAAAACAAATAAAAGAAAAAAAATAATTAATAAATGAATCCACACACACATGAAAACAAATTTCCTTTTTCTTTGTTTTTGCATTTTTAGAAGGAAACGATAAGCGAGGAATTAGTGTATCTCATTAAGAGTTTTTGTTTTTCGAACTGATATCGAAGAATAATGTTCAATTATAACAACAATACTCTGTGAATATATTCAAATTCACAAATGTGTCAATGAAAGAAATATGCGTTTATATACATACATACACACATATGACAATGAACAACAATGAATAGCACTAAGCTAGTCGGCAGCAGCAGCAGCAGCAAGTGTCACAAATAAAGCATAGTTACTACTTCACTGTGTTTACTTGTTATCAAATCAAATAACCAAAACTGAACTGAACTGGGAACTGAGCCTCATACACAACAGTGAACAAAAAAATATATATTTCATTTATTTAGATTATTAATATAGTGCTGCTGCATACATATGTATGTATGTGGCGTAGTATAGTAGAGAAAGATATATATGATGAGTGTATGTATATACATCATATATATATGTACGGCAAGAATCTAAACGAAGTTCACACTTCTCAAATGGGCGACGTTTGTATGGTTTCTATAGCGATGGCAATTTGATTTGTCGAGATTTCTTTAGGCACAAATTGTATAAATAAAAAAATAAACTTAAAGAAAATTAGTTAAAAAAAATGTCAATTGAATGGGCGAATGAAAATATGTAAATACATTTATATTTTTATCGATTTAGAAAATTGCACTAGAGTTCAAATCATTTGGTTATTGAAGTTGGTAAAGCCAATTTTTTTATTCCTGGATAATTTGGTTGTTTTAAGAATTAATTGATTAAGAATGATATTTGGGAAATATAATATTCCATTTCATTTTTATTTAATTTATTTATTTTAGGGCCTCCTGGCCCTATTTAATGTAATA